CATGAAGACAAATTAACTGCTTGATGTTGAACGCTTTCTTGCGTGCTTGCTGTCCGCAATTAAATATCACAGCAGAAAAATGTGTCTATTGGCACTAAAAATGTTTTTACCTTGACATTAGAGGGTTGCATTAGAGGGTTGCATTTGTAAAAATTCACTTTTGTGCTAATATTTTGCAACCCCTGCTGCTGCTTCTGCTGATGTCCACAAGCAGTTACCTTTCTTGTGGTACACTGTACTATTGGGCTTATTTCCATGAACTGATACAAACTAAATCGTAGGATCATCTACTTAGCCAGCAGATGAAAACAAGCAGAAGGAGGAGGGATATATGGATTCCAATCTCTGTTTATGAGAACATCCTTCCTGTCATCAATATCCACATTCCATTAACGTATGGTTTCAATTCTGCCTTTGCGATGTGGTTCAAGCACAATAGTCAAAGCATATATGTTCCAGTCAAGCACATTTCACTTTATATTAAATCAAGTAAGAAGGGATACCATAGCAGTTCCTGTGAAAGCTCTAGCTGTTTAGTAACCTGCTGCTCCTAATAATTTTCAATGGTACTGCAAAGCTTTTCCATTACGTAAGAGCAAATGCAACCTCTGATAAAATATTATGGATAATATCCATGAAAAATAAGATGTACTCCAAAAGGCTTATGGTTTTCATTATTTATCTACTTGTTTAAAATTTACATTAGTTAAAATATTTCTCTGTCAAAAACTTGTTTGAAAGAGCACAAAATGAGAAAAGAAACCTGAAAGAACAATTAATCATCAATAAATCAAAATTTCTATATAATTTCCTTTATTTCCATAGTATGTACACTGTATCCAGGTTCATGGTCTGCAAATAGGAAACTGGAATGTGAACTGATACTGCAAAGGAACTGAGGAACCTATTGAAAGGAATTTGAAGGTATATAAGTTATACTGTGGCTTGAATTGCTGGGGTCAGCTCTAGGGTATGCACCAGAGCCACAGTGTCTGTGGTACAAGTGTGAGTACAGTGCACATACAGACACCTATATGTAACCACCTAAATCTAGGTGTCTCAATCTGAAAGAGGAATTCCACATCAAAGGTCTTACAAGGCAGCTTTAATTAACCTGGAGATATATCAAATAGATGTCTTTATTTATGTCAACAAACTGCTGCCTATATAATCCTAGAAACATTTGCATAGCCTGTCAGGAATACTGGAAGGTAAGTTTACTGCTTATATTAATTTTCCAACATCAAGAAGTCAGATATTTCTGCACAGCATTGCGTCACCACATGCATATCAAGTATGAGCTGAATTAGCTCACCCCAAGAACTGGATCTGCTTGATTTTTTTCCCATACCTTTTTATGACATTGGCACAACCCATGGACAAGGAAATTAAGTCACCTTGATTTGCAGCTCTAGTATCTCTTTTAAGAATTGAACATTCTCCACTAATGTGTAAAATTTCAGTAGAAATTTGATCAGAATCAGTATTATAACTAAATGAATAATTCCTGAACTTTGCACCAAATTTGTAAATATGTGTAAATGCATTAGACTACTACACACCAGCCTCTACTTTCAGACAACATACATTCCACTGTGAAAAAAGGATTGATATAATTTGAATAAAAGACAATTTTTCTTATGATGTTGGGAATTACTCAAGACAAGACAATTTTAATGCTGGGAAAGAATAGTGGCATGCCACCTGTACCAGTGATCCATCTTAAATCTCTGTTATCTTTTCTGAGGCTTCTGATGACTTCTGGAAAATTTGTTTCTTGCTAGGGGGATATAAAAGAGGATCAGACTACTGGTATTGCAGAAACAGTATCTACAAGACTGCCCCTGGATACTGAAGTGGCATTTTGCTTGCTTACACCAGGTGCTGTATCTAACTTAAATCTGCTTGGAAAAATAATATAGCCATAGAATATCTTAAATGGGTATTAAAATGTTTTCTCTATTCATTATGTATGCTAGATCTATTTCTTCTTCTTTAGACATGAATAAGACCAAGATAAAATCCTTGGTTTTAGTAGAATTACTTCTGATTCACAAGCTCCTTAGCCCAGAAGTGAAACAATGTTACTATGGATGTTGTCCAATGCCTCTTAAACACTGACAGGCAAGGGCACTGACCACATCACTAGCCTGTTCCAAAGTTTACTACCCTCTCAGTTAAGAAATGCTTCAAAATGTCCAGTCTAAACCTCCTGCAGCACAGCTTTGAATCATTCCCGCACATCCTGTCGCTGCATACCAGGGAGAGGTGCTCAGCACCTCCCTGTGCCCTTCTCCTCCTCAGGAAGCTGCAGAGAGTGGTGAGGTCACCCTCAACCTCCTTTTCTCCAAACTAGACGAGCCAAATTCCTCCATTAGTCTCCAGGACATGTTTCTCAGCCCTCCCACCAGCTCAGAACACACTGAAGGACCTTCCCATCCTCCTCCACCTGCAGGGCCCAGCAGGGCCCAGGCTGAGGCAGCCCCAAGGCTGAGCCCAGTGGGACCATCCCCTCTCTGGGCCGGCTGTGCCGTGCTCGGTGCTCTGGGATGGGGTTTGTGCTCAGGGCTCTGGGATGGGGTTTGTGCTCGGGGCTCTGGGATGGGGTTTGTGCTCAGGGCTCTGGGATGGGGTTTGTGCTCGGTGCTCTGGGATGGGGTTTGTGCTCGGGGCTCTGGGATGAGGTTTCCTCAGGGCTGCCCAGGCACTGCTGAGCCACACGGAGCCTGGCACCAGCCAGCCCCACCTCCCTCTGCAGCTGTCCTACCACTCCTCTCCCACTTTACCCCTGTGCCTGGTGTTACTCCATCCCAGGTGCAGAACACAGCACCTGGACTTGTCAAATTTCACCCCATTTAAGACTGCCCAGTGCTCCAACCTATCTAAATCCCTCTGCAAAGGCCTCTTGTCTTTCAAAAGAATCCACAGCACCTCCCAGTCTGGATCATCAGCAAATTTGCTACTGGTGCATTCACCTGCTGCATCCAGATGGTGGAAAAATACCCAGAACAGAACTGGCCCTGGAATGGAGCCCTGAGGAACACCACTGGTGTGACCAGTCACCAGCCAGATGCTGCCCCATTCACTACAACCCTTTGGGTTCAGTCCCTCAGCCAGTGTTTCACCCACGATACCTGAACCTGCTCATCCCACAACTCGACAATTTGTCCAGAAGGATGCTGTGAAGGACAGCATCAAAAATCTTGCCAAGATTCAGCAAAACAACATCCACCACCTTCCCTCACCCAACAGATGGATGACCTTATCATAGAAGGCTAACAACTTAGTTAAAGAAAACTTTCCCTTTGTAAAGCCATGCTAACTGTGCCTGATGATTGTTCTTCAAATACCTTTTAACAATACCCAGCATAATATTCCACATAATTATTCCAGGAACTGAAGTTAGACTAATAGGTCTGTACTTCTCTGGCTCTTCCCTTATGTGCTTCCTGCAAACTGGAACACACTGACTAGATTCCAATCAGCAGAGACTTCCCTAAACTCACAAGACTTTTGGTAGATAAGAGATGGGTCCTGATACAACGTCTGCTAGCTCCCTCAGTGCTGGTGGGCTAGTACTGATGAGGTTAGTCCCTCAGCCTGGTGGGGATCAGCCCCCATGACCTGGTAAACATTCAGCTGATACAAATAGTCCCTTACAATGCTAGTATCCACAAATGGAAAGCCACAGTTTCCGCGTTTGTGGACCTTTGGCTCAGGGAACCAGGCAGCCCATGGTCTATCAATTTTGCTAAAGACTGAGGTTAAAAAAAACCACAGAATTTTAATTCATCTCTGCTTTTTCTTCATCCCTGTAAGTCAGGTGACCATCTTCAGAAAGTACTGATCCAGTGTTTTCTTCATACCTTCTCTTTCTTGTATGACAAAACACTGCTCAGTTTCAGTCATGAATGACCTTTGGCCTTTTGTGCCTTCTCCCTGCTTATGTGAATAACAGTTTTATAGTCTCCCTGTGAAGGGTGACCTTCTAGAGATAATGTATTTACCTCTTGAGCTCCATGAGGAGCTCCCTGCTCAGCCAAGGTGGTCTTTTGCCCTGCTTGCTTGACTTACAACACCATGAGATTGCCTACTCCTGTGCTTCTAAAAGATAGTTCCTGGAGACAGACCAGCACTTCTGGACTCCTTGGACCTCAAAAATGTACTCTGCTAAAGTAGCTCCCCAAGTTAGCTCTCCCGAAGCCCTGGGTAGCAACTCTGCGGTGCTTTTTCTCATTACATTGGAAATTTTAAACTCAACCATGCCACGGTCACTGTGGCATAGAGAAGCCCACTCCATCACATCTCCTACAAGCCCTGTATTCACAAACAGCAAGCTGAGGAGGGCATCTTTCCTAGTTGGCTCACTGAGTACCTGTGAAAAGAAGTTATCTCCTACAAACTTTCACCTACAAAGAATTTCCAATGCTGCTTGTCATTGCACTGCAGTATTTGCAGTCAATGCCTGGAAACTGAAATCTCCCACAGGAAGCCCATAAGAACAAGAGCTACTATCCAGAAGTTTCTCCTAATTGTCTCTAGAATGACTCATCAGTACCAGCATTCTGGCTGAGCAATCAGTAGCAGACACCCACTACATCATTTCCTTTTTTCCCATCCTCTTAATCCTCACCCAGAGGTTCTCAACCACATCACCACTAACTGCAAGGGCTGTATAATCAAACCTGTTCCTCATATACAGTGACACATTCATTTGTCCATCCCTCCTGAAAATCCTGTAGCCCTCCATTCCAGCACTCCAATCATGGAACTCAATCCACCAAGTCTTAATAAAATGAATTCTATTAAAGCTGTAAAACTAATTATATAAAAGCTCTGAAATGAATTATCTCAAAACTCTGGGGGCCAAGCAACACATCCAGTTCACCCTGTGTGTGTTTCTCCTATCACGCTGATGTACTGCTCCAGGAGCAGAATAAACTGAAATCCTGTCAGTACTCCTTTCCCTCATACATTTCAGATTACTCCTGAACAGCCCTGCCAGCTTGTGCCTCAAAACACATTTTCCCAAATTTACCTTTGGTTGCTCCGACGAACATAGTTATCCCCATCAACAGGTTTGCGATATGTTGTAAGTGCTTCATTAAGTTGTTCTTCAATCAATTCAACGTATTTTAAGTTATATTCCTGTGAGAAGACAGATGAGGGGTGACACAGTACATTTAGTGGTTTATGGTGTTATAGCATGAGCCTTTACAAGGAAGAAATAATTGAAAATTAATTGAAAAACTAAAAATCCTTATGAAAGGCTGAATTTTTTATGATCTGAAGGTGGGACTCAGGAAAATTAATGCACTTCACACATATAATGAGTTTGCAGAGTCAACAATTGATTTCATAATTATTTCAGGGGATTTGTTAAAAAAGGAAGAAAGAAATACTTCACATCTGACAAACTCAAATCATTTCAATAGATCATCATGGATTTCAGTACTCCTTGACAAGTGACACTTAAACTACTAAAAAAGTTGCCAACAGGAATGAGACGAAACTCTTATAATCAATTACAAAACCAAAGTAAGATATGAAGAGTTTTATTCAAGTTATGACAATAATGAATTTTTCTTAGTAATCTTGTGTTCCTGTTCCTAACAGCATCAGCCAATTCTGTCTTCACGAGCTCCAGGTTTAACTTAAATTACCAGCAACCAGAGGTATCTTGAAAAGTAGAATTCCTTTCCACACTTCGCTAGATAATGACCTTCCACAACAACCTATTTTAGAAAGTTACTACACTCCTGAAATATTTGCTGAAATACCAAAATTATATAAGCATCTTGGTAAATCAAAAGCATACATGTACAGAGAAGCTATGGAACTGTAAATCTCTGTCAACCTTTTCCAGCAAAAACATTATGTCACTGATGTAGTAAATGTATTTGCATAAGTTTTACAAGTACATAAAAATGCAATTATTTAAAAGAATCTGTGTTCTAAATCTGCATATTTACACCATTCCTCCTAATATCTAGCTAACATCTTCTTAGCATTACCTTTTGCCACTTTTCCATCTGTTTTGTTACATAGCCTCTTTCATTTAGATACGAAAACCCCTTTGGGATGGACAGAAATCTGTAAGAAAACAGACAGTTCACATTCTAATTTCAAGAATTAAAACAACAATTACAACAAATCCCAGAATTTGAATAAAAAGAACACTTATTTGTTTCCACAGTGTGAAATCAAATAGCGTATTCAATATTTACCTTAGGAGCAGAAGCAAGCCCTTGTCTCCAAGATGAGAAAGAGCTGGTTTCATTTGGATAAGGGCATGAAGATTGGCCTAAAATAATTAAGAACACAAAGAGTATTTGAGCACTATATAAAATATATCTGAAAACTGCAATAACTACAAAACTCTGCCTGCAATGAAGCAGCGTTTCAAAAGAAGTAACAAATTCCAACTTAATCCTAATATTATCAATTTTATGTATCTTGTCACTAAATATAAATTACTTCACAAGAAGTATAATGAACAAAAGAAGTTGCAATCCATATCTAAATACAGGCATAATCCAGAAGTCTATGTTTTCTTTTAAGTAATATTGCAATAGTTTCATCAAAGGAGTCTTACAAACTATTTTAAGTCCATCAATGACAATTGAAACAGGAAACCCCTCAGTAGCTTCTTGCATATTCGTACTTTGCTACTAGGGAAGGGGGTGGGCAAGAGCTTAAGAGCAGCATACCAAAAAGAGGTTAAAAAGAGAAGGGGTGCTCACCTTGTCTTCACACGCCTCATCTAGAATATCAAGTGCCTCAGAAGAAATAGTTTTATTTTTATCATGTAACTGGGTCACCAGTAACTCAATCCCCCAGTTGCTGAAGAACTCTACATTAGCTCTCAGCAACACTCTTAAGTGTTTTGTTGCATACAACCTGCAGCTCTGCAAAGTAAGGAAAATGTTTTCTTGAATAAAATAAAAATTACTAACACAAATGATGATTTACAACTCCTAAAAATACCTTTCAATCACTTTTATTTATCAAAACTTACTATTTTGCAGCGAGCAACTGTGAAACATACCTTATCTATTAAAATTACCATTTATTAGAGAGCTGTTTCTATCTTAGCACATGGGAACATTGAATTTAAGATCGCAAGTAAATTTGCCATTGGAAGTATCCAATCCTATATATTTTTAAACTGTATTATTATTATATCTTATTTTATAAGATACAATAATTATATTTTATATTTATATCCTAATATATTAATTTATTATTACTGTTATATCTTTTGAAGTGAATTTAGAAGCCAATTAAAAAAAATTATAGTCAGTAGGCAGTTTTGTCTTTCAATGAGTCATTCCTTCAACCATCTTCATACTTTCATACTCCATTCTTTATCCTAAGAAACATCCTCAGTTAAGGTCCTCCTCTACCAAAACAGACATTTAAAGCTAGTACCTACATTTCTCTCTCTTGTATCTACTCTAGAACATATTCTGTTGATGACAGAAACTACGTCATTTGAAGTCTGGAACATTCTCTCCTAGTTATATTTCAACTTCTTGTCACCTATCTCCCTGACATCAGTGCTTGCTTGTCTAACAATGTTACCTTAAAAATCAAGAGTTTCCTCTCCCAAATCCATGTAACTATATTTTTTTATTCCTATTCACCTTTTTTGATTCAGAAGAACAAATCCCAGTGCCTGAGCTAACCCCTCATTCCAGCAGCTACAGCACCTACTGAGTTCCAACACAGTGATTAACCTAAAAACAAAACAATCTCTACTTCTAGAAGGCTAACGTAAGGTTAGTGCTGCTACAAACACAGATTTCTGTTTGTGACAATGCCTTCAGTATTGATTTAAGATGCCACTGGCCTAAACAATAACATACATATCAAATGATACATGAGAGAAAGCTCTATTTGAAGGATTTAATTTCTTGAGCACAAATACAATACAGGGTATGAAGTTCACAACATATTCAAAAGCTACACTTGTAGGAGTTTCATTTCTCTGAATACAAAAATGAGAATCCTTTTTATATATAACAGCTTAAAAATAAAGTCATATACCTTGAATAATAAAAGAAATGTGTAGAGGGCAATAACGAAGAACATAAATTGAATTGAACTTACATCAGTAGCTGCTGTCAGGATTTTAGAGAGGATGACTCTTGCCAATCCATCTCTGCTATAATCCAGACTAGAAACAGTCAATTTTAGCAAGTGATCTTGGTTCTTCAAAGAACAAAGATTAAGAAGACTGGAGGCATGGAAGGGGAAGAAGAAGAAAACAAAATTAGGATCTGAACCCACATGAACCATCAATAATATAAACTGAAGTACTTTGAATTATACTTCAATTACTGTAAGCGTGGAACACACAGTACGTTCTTGTATAAAATGGAGTAACTTTAAATTGCTATAACTGTAAAATCAAATAGGGATTAAATACTACAAGAGGAAAACCCCAAACCAACACCTTTTATAAATGCTCTGTAAAAATTCTGTCAGCATAGTGATTTATAAGCATAAAAATTAATGCTCATTAAGCCCTGTGAACAATTGTTCATTGTACAACATTGTGTATAAAGCTTGCCATTAAGTTAGTCCTATTAACTGTCTAGATTTTATTGTATATCAAGTGTTCTGAAGCCAGTAAAAAGCTTGTTTTCTAAAAATCAACAAAATCAAAAATAAAAGATAAAAAGGATTAAAACATTTGTATTTTTACTTGAGGTTTGTTTTATGTTGATAAACTAGTACTAGTCACTAGTAAGTTTCTTCCCAAAGCAAGCTATGTTGATTTGTACCTGAACAAAATTTAGAGCTTCAGAACTTCACTCAAATATACTGAAGTTTTAAGTGCAACATATATCAACATTTCACAAATAGTACGGCACCTACCATTTTTTCATGGTTTGTGTGTTTTGAGTTTTGTTTGTTTCTCTATTTCCCCACACTTTTCAGTACACTATAATCCTTGATACTTACTGATACTCATCTCTATCACACAGGTGTAGATACGAAAAAGTAAGCTGTCTATACCATAACTACTCCTGTCTGCTTAGTAATGATTACAAGAACTTAGAAAAAAACATGGGGACCTAAACCTGTAGCTACACCAAAATAACCATAGAGTTTTCAGTTTTCAAATGGTGGCCCTCACACAGTTTAAAATTTGCATAACTAATTGTACACTGAAAGCACAATTCATACCAAATAAAAGCACTCACCACTGAAACACATTACATTTCTCAAGCATTTTCACTCCATGAGGGTGACAAGATAAAGTACCAAAAAACAGGAAGTAGTGCTGGCTAAGGGTATTTAGTAACCCATTATTCTGAAGACTACGTTCAGGTTTCATGCCTGATGAAGAGTTGAGCCAGAGTACAATATCTTTAACCAATTCCTCCAGGTAACCTTGTCCATCCTAGCAAAATAAAGAGGAATAGCATCTGTTAGTAACAGAAATGTGCCTCTACTTTACTGAAACTCATTACTTTAAATTTCTTAAGATGTACAAGCACAACACAGACACAAAACAGAAACACAGGCTGGGAAACAATTCAGACTAAAGAACAAGTTTCAAGGCTAATAAAAGGAGCAAAGCATGAAGACATCTTAAGTCCCATTCTCTTTCCATGAAAAAGACGAAGTATTATTCAATGACATTTTCCTCTGACCTGGGGCATAGGAGTCTTTAGCATAAAAGAATGAGTTAGAAAAGGAAGGTTATACACAGCAAAAGTAATAAAAGCAATTCCTTCAAACTCTTAGCTGCATTTAACAAAGCTGTATTTAATAAAACTTCTGCATAAATATAGTCATCTTCCTCAATATTTCACACTGTATTTCTTAATTACACTGGTGATTTTAGATATAACACCCAAAACATCAGAAGTCTTTACTAAAAATTAAGGTTTTTCCAGGTGGCATTAGCAAGACTACTTGTTCTACTTCCAGTCTCGTATCTGAAAATTTCTTACCTCCTCTGATTCAAGAAGAAATTCAGTAAACTGACAACCCACAACAGTGAGCTGCTTCGCCTTGGCATAGTCCAGATCCAGGTTAGCATAAAGTTTACTGCTAGGCTTGTAAAAATACAGCAATCTTCTTACAAACCTAGACAAAGTAAAATAGAATTGGCTATTTTTCAGTATGTCAAGGATAGTCTCACAATACAAATCGATGATAGTAGAAAAAATGGGTTACACTTAACTTGGTTTCTTGGCAGTTAGTCTTAAAAATTTATCAAAATAGTATCAGGTAACAGCAGTGACTCCATCCAGACACAATTTCAAGAGATGCTGCTGTACTGTGTCTTATAAAGGGTTTTCTATAGCATGACTAAATACAAGCAAAGAAACTTAAAATCTCTATGTTCTCAGAAGCTATAGCTTCCTTCTCATTCTCATAATTTATTCTGCTGTATTTTATCCTGCGGCAAGTTTCAAGGACGGTATTATTTAGAGTAACAAACAGCTTAAAAAAGAAACTTGTGACCTGAGCTGTCTTCAGCTATTATAGTTACTGCTACTGGGAAAATCACGTTTTTGTATTCTGACAGGAAAAAGACTCATTTATTCAGCAACACTGTTTCCAAACACCTCACTTAACTAGTCAGTGACCAGTGACGCATAACACAGTGACTGCTAACACACTTGCAGACTTTTTAAAAACACAGTAAGAATGTAGCTTGAGTTATGCATCACAAGAATAAGTCTTCAGCAAAGAACCTCCTCTCAAAAATTTTTCAAAAAATAAACGCACATTTGTAATTTAAAATAACACAAAATATTCCATCAGAAGATAGATATGTCAGGCATTAAGAAAACAATTACAGAACTGCACTTGTATTTGAAAAAGTCAGAGTAATCCACTACCACTAACTCCAGACATAGGATGCATGACAAAGGAAACCAGAGTTTTGTCAAGTAAAATGTATTTTATTCTGGGTTACTAGCAATAAATACATATTGACATACAAATTTATACGTGTATGTATCTATGTGTATATTTAAGCATGTATGTGTGTATATCAACATTCATACGTTCAGATTTGGGGCTCCTCACTATGGGAAAGACACTGAGCTGCTGGAGTGATTCCAGAGAATGGCAACAGAACTGAGGACGGCTCTGGAGCACAAGTCCAATGAGGAGCAGCTAAGGGAACTGAGGGTATTTAGCCTGGAGAAAAAGAGGCTCAAGGAGACCTTGGTGCTCTTTATAACCTTCCTTACAAGATGTTGTACCCAGGTGGGGGTGGTCTTTCTCCCAGGTGATAAGTGACAGAATGAAAGAAAAAGGCCTCAAGTTGCCCCAAAGGAAGTTTTCATAGGACACTAGGAGAAATTTCTGGACTAAAAGAGTGGTCAGTCATTTGAGCTGCCCAGGGAATTGCTGGAGTCACCTCTTCCAGAGATACTTAAAGGACATACAGACATGGGACTTGGAAACATGCTTTAGCAGTGAACAGTTGGACTCAATGATCTTTGAGATCTTCATGATTCTGTGATCCTGTGTGTTTATATACACTGCATTAACTGTATCTCTATGAAATCAAGAAATCTTTTAAAAAAATATCTGGAATTTCACTTTAACAGCTGTAAGATCATCACAACAACACTAACATTAAAATAGATCAATTTATGGAAAGAGAAATAAATGTAATTTACACTTGAAAAACAAATTGGTGGACAATTTTGTATCATTAGCAGTGAAACTAGAGAGATTTGGGGGATCTGGGGCTTAGTTCCTTGTAATAAACAGGAACAACTGCATTTTAAACCCATTAAGATCCCAATTCTGCAGAAAGGATCAGTGAACTATAGAAGCTTCACACCAATTCAATTCTAGATTTTCCCAGTTTATTGAGAATTAAATTATTTAGGCACTGACCAACACTTGAGTACAGCACAAAACCATGGAATAGGAACACTGTCCCACACAGGTAGGTTGTGTGTTGGTGTCACAGTCAGAACTGCAGACACTGCTTTAGAGAAGCAATATTATAAACTACCAGATCTGGAAAATAATCCTTTATCTCAAAGTACAGACTGGCAATTAAAGTTTCAGGAAAACCAAGAAAAAATTCTAATGTAAAATTCAGTTATGGTTATGATAACAATGGGACTACTGCCTATACTGTAAATACTTCTTAAAAGTACCCTGAATACTTCCTGGTAGAAATTTAAAACAAAGCCACATGAGCCTTTCAGCATATATTCTATCTTTTGGGTTTTCCCCCAGTTCAGGAAGCAGCTTTTCATGCCCACAGATACAGACCTATTCTTCAAAATAATGTAATCTATTTCTGAAACACATGCTAAAAGGCACATCCAAGAACTAATTAGCAACACTATGACCACACATATGACCACATGAGCTGTACTGGAGGTGTTTTGTTTGGTTGGTTGATTTTTTTTTTCCCCCAAATGACACATGCTTCTCTTGCCAGTAACAGCAACTAGAAATAATTTCCTCTTGGTTTTTTTTTTGAAAGTTGTAGTCAAAAACTTGTGGAACTATAGACCTAACTCTGTAAAAGTTTTCCAAATTCTAACATTAAACCTTACTCTTTGAAATACTAAGCAGTAAGATTTCCAAGGTTTAAAAGTAAATTTAGCATTTGCAAAGGTGGTATGATTCCTAAGGGACTAAATATGTAAAGTACCTGTGCATAGAAAAGAAGCTTAAACACTAGTTTATTGAACTCAAATATTGCAACTTAATTATCCAAATTTACACCTTAACTTCTTATCTATAGATTAAGTTTTAAAAATGTGATACATCTAGGGAATATTTTATTGCATTAGTAAAAACCAGTCTTCCAAATGTCTTTCTTCAAAGAAAGTCTACATAATTTTTACATACCTGTGCAACTGTTCATCTTTGTAGTTCCTTAGGTTTATATTTGGCCACTAGAAAAAACAGTGAATATAGCATATGAAACTTGTACATCAGTCCTTAATTAGTCAGTAAAATTCACTTATTTCTATCAGTTGTATTCACCTAATAATTAAAAAGTTTTCTTGCACCTGATTTTACATCTTAAAAAAGACATTATTTTATTGAAAAGCCCACACTGACTGCTTCAATAATTGCTCAGGTTTTTTCTAGAGAAGGACAGGGAATGTTGGTCACATGCTACATATACAAGAAATGAAAACAAAAAACTATGAGAAGCTGATGAAAAATAAGCAATTTTGCTTAGTTTCTTTCCTGCAAATAACAAAAAATTTGATATGCATTACAGGGAAATAATTTTTGGCTGCTGTTTTTAATATTCATCAGATTTGGTTTGAAAGTAATCATTATTCTGTTACAGATCATTGAAATGCTGCTTATTAAAATGGTATTGAAACTCAAAAAAATGAAACTTCGTTGATAGTTTGTAAGATATATTAAGAAGGACCACATGAAAAGTAATACTCTCTTCAGGATCTATTCTTCCTTCCCATTACATTTTCCTGTTTTTAAAGGCAACTGTTGTCTCTGTGGCTTCAGATTTCTTTATGTTGCTACCAGTGAGTATCTTCCTGTCAGGAATGGAAAAGTGCATCAAACTTTCTTCTTTCCTATCTACGTGACACAGTTGTACATTTCCAGTTGGTATTCCAGTATTTAGATACACACTGCACTAGTTAATGATTAGTAAAACTGACTACACCAATTAACAGTGCCAGATACAGATGAGGCTGACACTTCTGCTGCTCTTTTAGCAGCTTAGATAGCAAGCTGAGTAAGTGAAAAAAGGCAGTAAGGCACCACCTGAGATGCACACAATGAGGTGGTTCAAGAGCTGATGCTCCACACATAAAAGGCTGCAACAGACAAGGGGGAGGTGAGCAGCCACATGAGATAACAAATTTCAGACACTGGAATCCAGATCCTGGTCATTTAGAGGACTAGAGACAACCACTGTGGTAAGATTATCTCAGTTTATGCTGGTGTTACACAGGAACAGAAATGGTTAGAAGTAAGCCAGAGAAACACACACACTTCTCATTTAGAAAGAAGTCCCCAGTTTTCAGACTTTAGGAACTCTTTGACAGGACACTACAAAGTACATTGCTGGGGAGGTCTGAGAGGGCAGAGAAACTGGCTCTTTGACAAAAATTTCAGTTTAAGAAAACCCAAAGAGGTTAATTACATACGGCTTCCACTGTCAGAATACTATACAGACTAATTAACTATGAGATTCTGAAAAACAGTTTTCTGATAATATCTTTAATATTGAATCAAAGATAAAAGTATCTACGACTAATAGTTATCTAGTAACCCAGTAGATCTTATGATGGCAGTAAAAAAGTCTGTAAACAGTGAAATCTGGTGGAGCAAAGCTACTGTCATATACATATTCAGGTCTTTATACCAGACAGATTCTTGCTCTTTCAACTTTATCGGTCCCTGAAAAAAAGGCACAGAAATATTTAGTTTCTTTTCTTTTTCTCAAAAAAAACAACATAGTTTTGATTATGACTGTCACCATTAATCCTTTTTTGTACTTTCACCATCTTTGTAACACCACAGTAAAGAAGACAGTAAAAGAATGCTACACAGCTAAAGGATGACTTTGATGCACAGAATAACATCTTGGAGCAATTTTGGTTTGAAGACTATATTAAGTACTCAATGTTTTTTTAGTCAAGCAAAGTATATTTTCTGCTTACAAAGAGGCAGTGTATTAAAATCTGTGCATTAAATATATTTAATGTATTTAAATATATTTAAAACAATGCCCCTCACCCCACTAGGTATTTCCTTTATGATGTAAAGAGAAATTAATTCTGTAATAAAATCGATACTAAAGAACTATTTGCATTAGTTCAAAACATTCAGCGAAGTTTTCATACATGGTTCAGTCTAAGCATCTGAATTTTGTTCTAGAAGCCTCTATTATTATAACCTTCAGCTCACATAATTTTAAAAAAACCTGCTATGAATCTGAACATAGTAGTATCCCCTTGAAGTCTGAAGTATTAGCAGCTTTAAAGACAAGATACCTATTTCTATGAAGTTGATTTCTATAAAAATAAAGACATATAACATTTAATAAGTGTTTCTTAGGAAAACTGTGAATTTAACTATTGTACGTCTTTGAATATAGTTTAAGGGTTTTAATTAAAGAGACTAAGAGCACTGACTAAGCCCAGGAGATTCTAATTTCCTGAAATAAAACAAATTATTAGATGTACTCTGGAACTAATATTAGAAAGTCAAATCTCATATATGATACAGACTATTTCCCCAAATAATTTGTTCAACATATTATCATGGCCTTTGTAAGCTCACCTTCAGTATGGTCCCTATTAGATTCCAATTCCAGTCAAGATTCTCTTTGTGATTGAGAACTTGGCTGTCTCGAAGATTCATGATGAGTGCTTCTTCTGTATCCTGGAATAGAGACATGAAAAATTACAACAGGTTTTCCCGCATCAACTTTTTCAGTCTTGCCACATGAAGTACTTACTGCTCATGTAAAAATCATTAAAAGGGCTGTGTTTCACAGTAACGTGCATTTGAAGGTAAATTGTATGGTTACAGTACTGCATTAAGAACCTAAGAGATCACAACTGGTCACAAAAAGAATTAAAAGTTATTGGAATTTCATACCTCAATTTCTGGAAATGAAATTTAGTATCCACAAGTACCCGCAAGACAAATGAGATAAAAAAGTTACTACAAAGAATCACACAAATTATTCTGAATTACACTGAGTGAAGCTTGAGGAGTATGATCCAAGTTTCCAGAACACAGTGTCAAATTCAGGTTTGAAAAATGAATTATCATGATACCTTTAAAATAAAGATGTCTTTCTGCACACGGTACTGATCCCTTTTTTGGTGCGTTGAGATTGCTTTCTGAATAATATGATCTAAATGGAGGCTGTAAGGTTTAGGGCCTCTTTTCTTCATCTCGTGAAAACGTTTTAAGCAGTTGAGTGCTGCACTTGCTCGCCTAATAGGAAAAAAAAGGTTATAATTAGTATTTGGCAATTGTTATCACACTAAAGAGGACCACTACCTCCTGAGTAACCAATTCAAGAAAGATCTGACCAACAATTCTGAACCAAAAAAAAATTATTTTCTTGAGACACATTTTTATACATCCAAGACTCAGTCCTATACTGAAATTATACAGAAAATTATCTTTTAGAGTTTCTAGCACTGAAGTATTATCCTTACTGATAACTTTTCTTGTGCTCTGCAATTAGTGGTGTTTGTCACAGTTCACATAGGATACTGGAAAGTTTGAAGTTGATTTCCATTGTGAGATGTCACAGTAGATCAATATCCTGCAGTAAAGTTGATAGTGGAGAGTGCTAGATTCAATTTAGAGTAAGAAAGTGTCTCTCATACAGTCTCAATCCCTGCCCCACCTCCCTGCAAGGGTGGCAAGAGTATCAACAGTACACTTCCTGCTCTCATCTAAACAGTTCAGAAAGAGCATGCTTCTGTTTTCTGGGAAAAGACAGGGAGTAACATAAATGACAGCTGACAAGGGTAAAAACAGTTAATTACAAACAGTGGCAGCAGAAAAAAACCCCCACCTACTGAGCAAATAAAGATAAGTCTAAAAACGAGGAGTTATGTCTATCTTTCTTCCCCATAAACAAAAATTGTCATAGTGTAGGAGAGTGCTTTTATTTTCTTTTCAAACAAATACCTTTGAATTTCGTCACTTATCTAAATTATTTAAATTTAATTTGTAACACAGATTACAGTTTTTCAGTCTATAAAACAGTGCAGAGTGCTGACCAATGCCCAGATCCTGGAATAAAAAATACTACTTTTAAATAATCACTTCCTTTCAACAGAAATGGGAATTCTTGTTACAGTATCAGGTATGTCCAGAAATGGTAAAAAGCACAATTCCAAGTAATACAGAAACATCTGTCTTGTGCTCTTTATCTTTATCTGTTCCTTCACCCCACACTTTGGCCATGTGAAATATCCTGTCCTGAAATTTCAGATATGCCTTTCTTGAAAACTAATGGTGTTAATGCACATCAAAGTTTTCCACTGACATATATGAAACCTTCAAAACTAAAAAACAGAAGAGCACTACTACACTTTTAGGAAGTTCTCTACAAGCAGAACTTATCATTTCACAGTAGCAGTTTGGAAAAATGCTGTAATTTATCAGTGACAACACAATGAAAGACAGAACATTTTGATGCATTGATCAGAATATGGATCTGACAAGACATCAGAAATGGCAAAATTAATTAACAAATATATTTTTATAAGTGAAAGAAGCCTCAACACACTCAATTTGTCTTCTAAAAAGAAAAGCAACTAAGAACACAAAGTTCAAGAAATACATATTAAAAGACATGTGAATTTATCAAATTATTTTACTTCATCCATTAGGAAGTTTAAATTATGTAAAGCACCCAGAAGATACTGGGTACTTTAGTACCAGAAGATGGCATTTTGTGACAGAACTTTATGTTTTCAAATGTAACGTAGAATTCTTACAGTCTTTTCTCTTTCATGATATCAAAGGATGCTGCCATATTCATCAGTGTTGGTAAGCAGTGCAAGTGATGGCTGTGAGAATGAGGAAGAATTGTGTTTGCCTACAAAAAAAACCCAATAAAAGTCCAGTTAGAATAACTTCTTACAACAATTTCATCCATTTTTTTAGGATCAACATTTAAAGAATCTAGCACTTTTCGCGAGTTTTTCAGAAATTGATGACAACCAAATTACCTTTTAATTATGTCAGAGCATAATTACACACACCATTTTGAATTGGTGATCTAACTAATCAACCTAAATTACACTAGAAAGTAATTTCAAACAATTTCGGAGTTTCGTAGGACATATTGTTTCCATTGGAGTTTAAGTTGTAACATGCAAAAACTTGCAAAGCATCAGATACGCTTATGTCACATGCATAAAAGTACAAAAAAAACCACCTAAAATCAGAAATCCAATTAAAGCTGACGATTTCTACTAAAGCATTACTGCACAAAACCCCTTGATTAATTCAGATAACATTCTAAGTTACTAGACATTTAACTGCTTTTAATAAACATATGTGGTTCTGAAAATATTTCTGGAAACTAGAGAACAAGAAGATAAAGAAATTAGTTACATTTCCAAACACTAAATAATAAGTGGTTTATGTAAGTCTTTTTTTTTCAGTTTTTGAGAAACAATACTCATATCCAATTAACAGATCATCTCTTCAGAAAATCAAAAAATATATGTGCTTCACAGCAGTCTAATGTGAGTTAACAATCACTCCCATTCAAAAGCATTCAGGAAACCAAAAAAATAGCATATAATATTATAAAAAGTGAATGCTGAAATATAGCACTGGAGCCTTTATGAAAACAGTATCATCATCTCAGTACAAGGTTAGTTTAAAAGAGAAGATACTGTAAAAGCTATCTTAGGTCCACAGAAGTGGAATGAAGTTTAAGTTTCCCTGCTGCAGGAGCAGTCCACGAAGATGGAGTTGCCTGAATGAGTAACATCAAGTACCAAAAGCACATCAAGCTTAATATGAAAAAATTTTCATCTGTCTCCCCTGAGGCAGGAAGCTAAACACACTGTCAGAGGCCTACTGACCATCATTCTAAGAAAAGCAAAAATATTAGCAATGGTCATTTTTCCCAAGCACAGTTAATGATGGGTGTGTTTGCCGGGTTCCAGCTTAAAAACATGACTGCTGCTATGGTAAGAAAGTGTCCTGGTGAGAGTCAGAGCTACAGATAGCCTTGGAGCAGAAACACTAGCACTGTGAATACTTTCCGAAAAGTCTTCCTATTGAATAATACTGGTTATAACATATGAAGTGCCAGAAAAAGTAATGTGAAATTAATCTACTATTCAGATGAAAACTGTTTCAAGTTTGGAATACAAATTAATGCTATAATAGCAAATACCTATTTACAAGTACAAGTATTTACAAGTAGCTACAAAGAGTGGTATTTACCATGTGCAAAAGCTCTCCCAAAAGGATAGTTGCTCTGACAGATACATGGTCATCACTACTTGTGATCACTTCAACCAGACCCTTCAGAAAGCAGAAAAAAAAAAAAAAAAAAGAATTACAACATTTAATGCAGAACATCTTACTTGAACTCTTGCAGAAAGAAAGTAGCAAGTATCTATTAAAACTGAAAGTCATTAGTTACCTCTAGAAGTCCGTTGGTAATAAAAGCAGAAAGCACTAAAGCCAAGTAATTATCCATGAGATCAGGCCTAAGGAGAAAAAAAAGTAAGGAAACCGTTTAGAAAGTACATTTCCTATTGTTCCTGCAAGAAACCATGAAATATTTTGTCCACACTGCTACAAAACAATATAAGAAGAATGGTTTAGACAATGTTAAGTTCATTAAATCCTCACCTTGACCTGGCTCGATGGGGTAAAACAGTTTTAGCCTCGGCAGCTACAAAGCCATCAGAAAGTCTCCAGCAGTCTTGAAACCTGCCTGGATCTAAAACAAGAAAATATGGATAATGGCAATTATAATTATTGGCTTTTACAGCATTATTTTAATGGCAGTCAGTACATAAATAATAATTCTTGCCTGCAAATATTATTTCAGGTGGTTTCAAATTAAAGAAAATTTAGTCAGAGAGGTTCTCTAATAAATCTAATCCACAGGCCTGAACAAAGCAAGGGTACCTTGAAAGCTAGGACAAAGATTTTATCTAAGTGTCAACAAAACCAGTGATATTTCCAATTCATATACACATTAGATTTGTTTAACGGAAAATACCATTAGCACCTAAAACATTACAAGGTGCATCCAATATATAGAAGTAGCAAGTTTGCAACAAAAAATTATTTATTTACTCATAAATTAAAAAAACCCCAGAGAATTCTCTTCAGTTTACAACTGAGTAATTCTAAAGGTAAAATACTAACTTGGTTAAATTTAAGGACATGAAGAAGCATGAACTTGCCCTCAAAAAAGCAGAAGTCTAAGCATAATGGGGACAGATAACAGATAGACAATATACAGAAAACACTGCTTAATAACTTTTCTGTAGTATTCGTTACCACACCCACAATTCTGAATACTGCTAATTGTCCAAAGAAGTCTCACCTGTAGTGCTGACCTTACAGTCTTTTGTGTTAATACCTAACTATGCTGATCTTTCATAAAACTTGCGACACTTAGCAGGTGATAAAGAATTTTAAACAAGACTTCAGAGCAACCAATAAATTCAGTGATAAATCAGTTAATAGTAAGGCAACTTATAATACATAAGAGACAGCAAAGGCTTCAAATTTGTACAGGAGCTTAATAGAATTCTTACATGAATTGTTTTAAATACTTACCTACACTGAGAAGTGCCTCTATAAATTCTTCTGCAATAACAGGGAGAGGAAGACGAAATATATCGTAGAGAACTTCAAGCAGACCTCGCTATCAAAGAAAACAACACAACAGGAATTTTTCAGATTTACAAAATTGTCTCTTTTTTGACTGTTAATACTGACCTTGATATTCTAGCACTAACACTGGTGCATTTGTTGCAGTGTTTTTTTCACAAACTGAAATAAACTGAAGAGAGGATGAGGATTTTTTATTTCTGAATTGTCCCTTATTGTCACTATGAATACTACTTGGATTGCAGATTTTTAGACTAGTTACATCTGGAATCATCAACTTTTGTCTAGAAAGTTTAATTTTTGAATTTTTTTATTTACTTGTATTTCAACTCTGATTATTATTATGCTTTAAACTTGCAACTGCAGCTACTGTAAACTTGCTCTGATTTGTGAACAGAGTAAAAATTAAATATATTTTCTTCCATTTTGTCACACATACGTGGTGGACTTCGCAGTTTCATAGGATTTTTATAGCAGAATTATAGAATTGAACTTTGGGAGTTAAACTCAAGGACAACCGTCTGATAACTGGAGTCTGCATTTATTTAAACCATTAAATTGTTAAAAAGTTAACTTAATAAAATATTAACTATTATTTCTACATCAGTACTAAATATTCACCACCTACCCGGATTTCCATATTTGGTATACAGAGTACCCCAATAAGAGACTGAATCCCAGAATTTCCAGGTTTGCACAGGCTGATAATGCCTAGAAAACATTTAATGTACAATAATATTGCTTCATCAACAAAAGAAAGGACAACAGACACATTGTAAAATGAGATTTCCAGTTTGAGAACAAGCATACATAAAAAAAATTACTAATCGTAAACATTTTCATTTTTATAATATAATTTCCTTCCCAATTAATAATATTTAACAGAACTTCCTAATCACGAAACTTTATAACCTCATTAAAAATGGTGCTACTTTTGTCCTTCCTACTGTGAACAATACTCAAAAGTTATCTATGAAAACAACATAAGCATGGAAGAAATGCCAAAAAGACAAAACTGTCTGTAATGAGTAACTCTTAAGCCTGAAAGGTTTTCATCATCTGAGTAGAACTATAAGGCATTTCAATCAAAAGCTGCATCTTTACCTAACAAATAAATTAATTTCCTTTTCCAGGTGAACTCTAACAGCTGTTAGATCTAAGTCCCTAAGTGTAAGAAGATGCAGTAATACACTTATCAGAAACTGCTTTCTGGAAGTTTTGAAAGGCACCACATGCTTCCTCCTCAAGCATGTGAGAACATACAAGAAACTTGAAGGATACCTGGATATTAAAATTAAGCTTAGTGATAATTTTCAGAACTTAATAATACAAATAATGTCATAAAACAGCCTAAATATAGCCTGGAAAAATCCCACCCAAAATTTTTGTAAATGTTTATATTAACTGATTTAGATTTCCAAGACAGTGCCTTGACTGAAAAAAAAAGAAAAACAATCCCCAAGCAGTACCTTCATCTTACACATTGTAATATTTCAGAGAAAGGATTTAGGAAAGTGAAAAAAAACAAAACTTTTTTGATTTAGAAATGTCTTCTACATGAAAAATTGCAAACTAAATCCATTTCCAATTTCTCTTAAGCTATGGCATCTGGTAAAAGCAGGTAAAGTATTTGCCGAAAATCTCATATCAAATGAGACAGATCCTGTGTCATCTATACTAGAAAGTAAAACTGCACTTCAAATAGTCCAGTTTCAAACAAATGAACACATCTTACCTGCCCATGATCGAAATGCTGCTACTATTCCCATTTTACTAGCTAGGAATCGTGCTTCTCTGTCCTCCCTGACATTAAAATAACAAATGCCATAATTAATTATTATTGTCATAATAATTACGAAACAAACAGTATTACAGTATTATTATTAAAGGTAGTTAACTGAGAGATGGGGGACAAAATCCAGAGTAAAAGAAGTATTTTCTGTAGACATATATGTATGCATATATGTGTGCATATGTATTTACGCAATGTATATACACACAGAAAAGGTACAGAATTTTAAATTATTGTTACTTTTCCTCTTCCAGGGGAGTTTCCACAGGAGGATAACATCAAAAACACCTATAGGAGTCTGATGAATCACTCTGCACCTCCACTGACACTAAGTCCACGGCAGAAATGTGAAGATTTGGACCTTAATCAGTTACCCTAAGCACCTAATCCCATTTGATAATTAAAAAATCTTGAATAATTTAAGTTGGAAGCCATCTCAGAAGATCTCTCTCTAGTCCAAATTACTGCACAAAAAGTCACCAGTTATCAGACTAGGCCAGATAATAGAAACATAGAATGGTTTGGGTTAGAAGACACCTTTAAAGGTGTTCAACCTTTAAAGGTTAGTTCAACCCCTCTGCAAGAATTCAGCAAATGCAGTATGTAGTACACACTCCTTTTACAGTGTCCAGAGCCAGCTTGGAATAACTGCAAAAAAAACCAAGGCTTTATCCAGCTGACTGACAGAAACTCTCAAGAATGAAGGAAGCAAGACCTCTCTGGATAACCTATTCCAACTCTTGACAAGTGCCCCCCGCCCCTTATATCAAGTTGAAATCTTACTTGTTTCGATTTGCTTCTGTTGCTTCTCGTCCTTCCACTTTACAACACCTGGGCCCTGGCTACATCATCTTGAAAACATTTTCACTGGCAGTAAAATGTCTGCTGCTCAGCAGAGGGTATCCCCCAACCCTCTCCTTTCTAAGCTAAACAAGCCCTTTTCAATCTGAAATGCTTAACTGTATTTTAGAAAGCTGCACTCTGGCCTACTATATTAGACTTCTAGAAATTTAGTATTTGGAAGGAAGTACAGCTTAATTCTAATGCTATGAACATAACTGATAGCACAAGTAGCAGCACCAACACTTACTTGAGTTGTCCTTCTGCTGTGTCAGGATTGTGCCTGTAGTGAAAATCTGTGTAAGGGGCTAAAATTCGCTAAACAAAAGAAAGACATGCATTATTTTCACATGAAAATACAGTTATATTGCTACTGCCCCTTCCTCAGTCCCCCTCCAAACTGTCATATTATTCCTGCTTTATAAATCCTAGGCTCTTAGCCTAAAACATTATCTTTTCAACTTTTCAACTGTGCACTAACACAGAGAAATATGAGACAAAACTAAAACATTTTAATGAGTAATACAGTGCTTAATTTCTGTCACTAAACAAGTAAAACTGCACTCACCTCTAATTCTACATCTGCTCGCACATACTGTCGTGTCTTTGGATGATTAATGAGGTGCAAAACTGTAGTTATCAGAGCCTCATTTATTCGGCTTAGTTGACAGTCAATCACATTTTTCAAGATGGTACTTAAACCACCCCGAAGAGCCACCACCTCAGGATTCTGAAGTGCTAGATAAAGGAAAACAAGTCATTTTGGTCAGTGATCAAAGATAAAACATTTCATGGCATATGACAAACTTGTCATCTCAAGTATGAATATCTTATTTGTCCTGAACACTGTACACTGAAGCATATGTAAAGCTTTTAATGGAACTCGTTGACACTGTAAATGAACTGTGATTTTTGGATTCATTTATCATACACAAAAATACTAGTCAGTCTCCAGCATATGGCCATTCCCCAACTTAACTCCCAACCAAGTTACCATATAGTAATTTCTGGATTTCCCCATAAAAAGTTTTCATGCTTCACTGAACCAACACAGATAAAATATTTATATTGAATTGAGAGTAATGTTTTGTTTATTCTTTAAAACAGAAGCTTTCATCTTGAAAACAAATTGCTGAAGTTATTTCCCACTAATTCATTTTGGAAAAAATTTCAAAAATCAGCACCCAAATGAAAGTTTAGGCAGTTAGCATGAACTGTCATATCACTGCCCTGATAACTACAGTACCCACCCCAAAACTTTAAAAAAGAAAGGTATTTTGTAGTTGTCTGAACTCTTCCAAATTTGTCAGCATCTTGTGTATGGAAATCTTCTTATTCCAAATTAGTTTTAAAAGTTTTTCCCATTAGTTTGGAAAACTAATGAAAGAAAAACCAACTACAGGACAGAAATGTTTTTAAGAAAACCAAAATCTGTCAAGTCTTGAAAGAAAGATGAAAACCTGAAACATTTGCCTACGATACATAAATAGATTTTAAGTAATTTTGGTTTATATAATGCTAATAACTAAAATCCAGGAAAATGACAATAAGAACACTTAGCATACAATTTCTCATTAAACAAATACTGTGAATGACAACCACGTCAAAACTAAACCCTAATTAAGAAAAATTACCTTACCTAGTTCACAGATAATAGCTATACATGCTCGAACCATTCTGTCTCTTTCTTGAAGACCATCGTTTCCAACTGCTATCAAAGAATTAGTAATAGAACTGGGGAACAATGAAGCATTCACAGTGATCATCTGCCAAAAAGCAAAGAAAAAGCCCTCTGGTTTCTTCATATTTCTCTAAATATACATTAACAGCATTCTGTTTCCTACATACAGTCAGACAGACCAGTTCACAAATTACTTGGTTGTATGTGGTGAATCTACACAACTACTTTTTTTGCTCTTGAAATTATTTCCATTTCAGTTTGTTTATCAATTTACTTTAGCATTCTCTTCTTGCTTCTGATTATTTTTTATTTTATCTTAGTAAGAAAGAATTTAAAAGATGTTTTTTGCCATGTGAATTAAGACTACCATCATCAAAGTTTTTTTTCCTCAATAGTATCTTTATTGACAAAGAACATTCATTACTCAATGACACAGAGTAGACTACTAACTCATCTACTATTAAGGATGTCCTGCACCATGGAAAGCCTCAGCTGTCAATTTGTAACAGCCAGAATTCACACCAGATTAAGGAGCAATATACATTAAAGGTAAAGAAAGCCACTCCTGGACAAACAGCTAATACCACCAACTCTTCACCGTCCCCCAAGTGAGGCTTTGATTACAAAGGCTGAGCAACTGCCTGTTCACATTTTTTTTAATTTGTCAAAATTAAGTACACATATCCTTCCAGAACAGTAATATCACTAAGCAGATATATTACCAAGGAGGAAGCAAGTTTTTGTCTGACTGCCTAAAAAGGGAACAGAGCAATGTTTTATAGCCCACACAGGTGTCTTACCTTTCTTTCTCACTAATAAATAAAAATGAGACATAAAAAGATACTCAATATCCACCAAACATTTAAAAATTTAAGGCTAGTTTCCCATGCTTTTGCTTATTATCTTCTTTGTTTTCCACAAAACCAGGCTTATCTTCATAACTCTTCCAAAAATGTTTTGTCCTATATCCAGTTTACATATCCCTTTGATGTGTTATAGGTTTTGTGCAAAGACGATTAATTTTTTTTTTTTTTTCAGAGATGTTAAGATGAGAGGGGATTATGATCATTATGACCAAAATACTGGAAGAGTTTCAACAAATCTATCCTTAAATACATGTTTTTGAGAAGCTTCTTGTTATACATAATGCCAACAAAACAGGAAGCTTTAAGACAGGACTTTAAAAAAAACAACAATTTCTCTTCCACCCACACAGTCTCTCACTTTTACACTGGCTAGACAAAACAAGAATAAGCAATAGAATAGCTGCACCAATCCACTCCAGGAACTGCAACCAGTTTGCTACTGATATTGATTGACATGGTACCTCCTGTGAGGACACAAGAAGCCTGTGAGGATGCAAGCTGTTCTGCTTCATTGTCTTCTTTGTTTTTAAGACATGAGAAAGGTTTCTTACTCTTTTCTAAACACTTCAGTAGAATAAACAAATTTTTGTATTTACTTTGTAGCTGCTCTAGGTATTAAAACTCAGTTCTAAAGACAGGAAATGGAAAGCTACTTACAAGTAGCTAAGATGAAATAAATAATAAAAACTAGGCATTTGGTCTCTTAAGACTCCATCGGAAAAGAGGAAAAAAAATGGTTCATATTGCATCTAACCCTGATTTCTGCTTTAAGAAAACACTTGGACTATTAAATTTTAAAAAAAAAGAAAAGTCTTACTGACTTCTATCAGATAGAAAAATGCTTCCTGAAGCAACTTCACACCATCCTTTTCATGCTAAAGATATTATTAAATTGTGAAGCTTTTACCAGTAAATGTAGAAGTGATTACAGTCAAAACAGGCAGTGAGCACTCAGCCTTCAAAACCTCTTGGACATCAAGTTTAAAAAATCAGGTTTTTTTAAATCTTCCTACACCATTTAAACCTAGTATTTTCAAAACAAACTACATGACTGCCTTTTCTAAATTCATAAAGAAATATTAGTAATTTTTTTTTTGTTCTTCTCAATGAAAAGAAAGAAAAGAGAAGGTTTAAATTTTAATCTAGGCAATTCTCACAGACATTTTTACTACCAAAGATGAGGTTTAAGAGCCAAATCCTAAAACAGAAACCAACAGCTCTGTGATACTGGAAAAACCCAGTTCAGTTTCACAGTAAATTATCTTCTGAAAAAGTTTGTTAGCTCTTTTTCATTTTATTTGCCATCCATTCTTCCGTTCAAGACCTTTATATAATCTTTCAGGAATCCTGGCATCAAATTACTAAGTCTGAAACATTGAGGGACATGAAGACAGAGGCAGAAAAAGGTCAAGAGCAGGATAACAAAAAGACAGTGTGAAAAATACAGTATGTGCTATTCAGGAAGCACAGTATTCCTTGTGAGAGAATTTCTTGAGTACTGACTGCTCTATGCCAACACATCCTTAACTGCTGTGGCCTAGACAGCACATGAGAAAGCTGCTAACTTTAGTGGTAGCAGGCTGGGTGGCTTTTTGGTGGTCTAACACTATCTTTTAAGAAAACTGAATGTTACATGTAAGTACCAAAAGATGCTAGAAAAGGCTTTCCATCAACACAGTTCCCAGCATCAAGGAACCACAAGCACGGCTGCACAGCCTATGCATTTAATGCACACACCTGGTGCATGCAAATACCCTTGCACCACAGTGGAGAAAAAAAACCCACCAAGGGTGAGCTATATGATTTCTTTGATGTTTCTCTTTGACCATAATTTTTTCAGATCAAACTAATGAACTGGTTTCTCTTGCTGTCTCTTCTTTCATGCAAGATGGAAGTTTTTGCTCAAGTAGGAAATGGTTAAAAAAGCCCAGAAATACAGAGGACAAATTTCTGACCCAAATAAAAGCAATTATGGATGTGTTTCCATCTACTGATTTACAAAGCTCTTATTTCAAAGTAGATTAGCAAAGAACTTGTATAGAGTGCAACTTCCTCAAGGAACTGCTCCTTTATAGTGGGGCTTTTTTGTTTTTTGATTGTGTTTGGAGGTAGCCATATTGAATATTTAAAATACTTTTTTTTGGCACAATCGTTAATCAAGTACATGGTATCTTCTGTAAGACAGAAAACATATTTAGTTAGATTTAAAATACAAAAAGAGATTTAACACAGACAGTGCTCCTGGGGAACCATTCTTAAACTACTTCAAACTTTACTCCAGTCCTTGGCAGTTTTATTACATAGAATGTAAGAATATAGTCATATTCTTATATGAGAACAATAAAGAACTGTGAAGTCCAGCACAAAGGCAGGGTATTATGTCTCCTGAACACATTTGGTACCTCTATATGCCAATTTCTCTAGGATGAAAATACAGCTATATTACTTTCAAACTCCCATCCAGGGGTACACTGTACATTAACCACCACAGAATAACCACATTTTGTTAAGTATCTGACAGAAAATCCTATGGATAGATAGCATCAACTGCCACAAACAAAGCAGTAAGTCTGTAAGCATTCCTTGAATGATTACTTCAGTGACAATTTGTCTCACTTCTCACATGGCTGAAAATCTCCCAGTACCTGACTCACAGATGCTTAAACAAACTATGAAGTCATCACAATTTCAATATTGAAACTTAAGGTTGTTTTTATGCCCTTGCATTCACTCTTTGGTAAGTGTTTCTCAAATCTTGTCCAGTAAACAAGATTTTTCTAGTCCACTTGAGATTCTAAATGGTAAAACTGTAAAATCAAAGCAACTCTCTTTAGTACATTTTTCTGTCTTTTAAATTATCAGCTATATTACATGATAAAGGTAAAGCAAAGTATTAGAGACTGTGAAAAAGCACTGTTGATGGAGACAATCAGGAGTCAGCACAAATGAGTTGCACAGTGGATACAACCATACATAGGAGATTTTACCTTTCTGACTAATCGAAGTGCTTGTGTTCTTTCTACTTCATTACTCTGCTGTATGTCAATGCACCTAAAGTAAGTTAAAAAACACATTTTGTTTATAACAACAGTAACTTCCACCTTAACTGTTAACAACTCAGGTTAATATTTATGTATATGAGTACAAAAGAAAAATAATTGACTTATGGTTTAAAAACTACACTTTTCAGTAAATATACTTATTATGACATATCAGTTTGTTTTGGTTTATATTTTCTCAGCTATTTTCATTACAATTAAGTCAGCAGAATGTTCTCAAATATAAAACGGCAAAGCATAATGCTTCAACACTTATGTTCCAAGCTAGTTGCATTTTTTATTTGCAAATGAGACCACACCAAGTATTTGTAACGTTTCACATCAACACACTTTGGAGTGCCTTCAAATCAGAGAAGTTCTTTTGATCCAACAAGTTAAACAGCACACTAAAACTACAGGTGTATATTTATAAACAGAAATCCACACTCATCTATATTAATATATTAAATAAAAAATTTCATTACAGGAAGCACTAGAAATGCTATTATTTACATCTATTCATCATAGTGATTGTATTATCTCACTGTTGGTTTGCCCTTTAGCATTTTTCTGTTGTGTCATTGATTATATTTAGACTACAAATTCTTGGACATCACATACATTTTAGTTCTGACTTTCTACTCGAGACTCCACAGCACTGAGATAATACAAAGACTCAAACAACTCCCATACAAGAAACTTAAGAAATGAAAATTATTATTTCAACGTTATTAATTTGTAGTTAATGGCATTTATGATTAAAAAAAGAAATTATTTGGATTATTTGTAATTTATCATATATTAGGATTAGCATTTTATCTGGATTAGCTTGTGTGATGAAATATGCTATTGAAGAAAAATGTCTTTTATAAAACTACTCACTAAGAACATATTAGAATATGGAAACACTTCTGTCTCAACCATGAAAAAGCAAGTGATTTAGAACTTTACGGTTTACAACACGAAGAAGGACAAAAATTACCTGGCTATCAAATAATCCACTTTCAACTTTAGCACCTTCTGGAGAATACTGGAGTCTCGAATAAGATAGCGGAGGGCTCGCAATCCTGCTGCTCGCACCTCTTTTGCTTCATTTAGTAAAGCTAACCTCAAACTACAATGAAGAAAACAAGAGGGATAAATAACTATTAGGCAGCAGGCACACTTTACCATCTGACATGCAGTTACTACTCACTCATTTAAGACAAAATATATTATTTTTAAAAATAAATGTTTTGAACTGATTTTCTGAATTTCAAGTCTTCTCATGTGCAACCTAGAAGGCAAGCCCTCATGGTCAGCAGATGTAGACAGTATAATAATCTTACTAACTTTTCTCCCAAATAACAGCTTGCACATCTAAGAAATGACATAGAACCAAAACCTGTACATAACATATTATTAGACAAAATAGCTGAGCACAACATTAAGAATTTTATTTGAATAAACAGATGAGCACAAGAAAATTAAGAGGTAGAATAAGGTAGGTAAGAACAAATGACTTATGGAAGAACTCTAGAAATTGAGTTAGAAAGCATGAAGCAGCACACTGTCCTTTTGAAGGCCATCAAGAGATTTGTCCCTCTTCCTCAAGGACATGCAGGATGGGGGGGGAAATCTTCAACCTCCCCATGACATTTTCTAGAAGGATTTTTCACTGAACATCTAAGAATGTAAATACTTTGGCCAGTGAGACTGAATTTCTACTTTCGCAAAGGGCTTATTTTTTTCTTTCCTTATCCTAGGGTTGTCATACGTGGTAATCAGCTACTCCAACACAAAAAAAATCTTTAGAATCTTTTGGTAAATACCTGGCCTGGGTAACTCATTGTAACAGAAGCCTACTCCCAGGGGATACCTAGACAAAGCAGAAAGGCTGCCATATCATTTGCAATAAGGATGAACTGATTATTACTTTCACCACCAAGTAGGGAATTGTTTCAAGACCATTTTTCCTGTATTATAAATATGCTACCCACGCTGCTTTGGATGCAGCCCAGGATACAGCTGGATTTTTTGACTTCCAAGACTGGAGATGAGGCTGCTGACTCATGTCCAGCCTCTCATCCAGCAGTATCCCCAATTCCTTCTCAGCAGGGCTGCTCTCAATCAGTTCAAGCCCCAGCCTGCATTGACTCTGGGTGTATTCTTGATACCAAAGATCTTCAAGTCCAACTCCTGCCCATGTACAGGACAACCCCAAGGGTCACACCATATGCCTCAGAATGTTGTCCAAACACTTCTTAAACTCTTCCAGGCTTAGGGATGTGACCACTGTCCTGGGGAACCTATTCCACTGCCCAACTACCCTCTGGGTAAGGAATCTTTCCCTGATATCCAACTAACCTTCCCTGACACAACCTCAGGCCATTCCCTCACTGGTCAATGTAAAGAAGATATCAGTGTCTGCCCCTCCTCTTCCCCTCATGAGGAAGCTGTAGACCAGTTAAAGAACTGGCACAGTGAAACCACTACAAAGGACAAGACTATAATGAGATTCAGCACTCAAAAGCAGAAGCTACCAAAAAGAGATATGCCACTATCTTTAAGTATGCAATGAAAATGGACAGCTAGTCAAAAAGATAAAAGACATCAGTTTTAGCTGATGAAGAAAACAATCACACAAGGTTTCCCAGCATTTTGCTCAAAGAGCAATTAGTTTTCCTAAACTTCCTTCCTTAAGTGAGATGTAAATTGAAAAACACAGAAATGCATTAAATATTAGATCTTATTTGCTTTTGTCACCAGTGGTGATATTCAAGACAAATTTACAAATTTCTGTGTGGAAATAAGCACAGTTACATTTGACTAGCCAGAAATGGCCACAAAATAGATAAATGCCACTTAAAAGTATATACAGAGGGCAAATCAGTAGCAGGGAAAGCAGTGCTATATGGACATATAGACATCAATACAACATAAAATACTAATTTTTAAATCCTGATTTCTGTATCAAGTGTATGCTCTGTATTTTGTAGATGGGCATTTTTATTAGAAGTGCTTTCTACAAGTACTGAAATATTTAGAAGCATTCTTATATCTGTGAGGAAAACAATGAAGAAATCTACTCTTCTAACTTGAAGGGTTCATCTCTGCTCAAAAGTGAATAATATATTTCTGATTTTACTCATTAAAATATTTGTAGGCTATATAGTTGCATTATGAAACATATTATAAATACAAAATATTAGTTCAAAAGTACAAATGAAATTTATTTAATTGCACCAAAACAACTGAAGCTCCCTAGGACTGCTCTAGTACCCTCTACTACTTACCATATTATGATGCTGTCATAGGTAAAACCTAACTTTTCTTCAGCATGGCCAGTATTACACAGAAGCTGAAAATAAAAGAAAATATCTGTTATTTATAGTTCACCAAAAATGACGATGAAAACCCGTAGATTTTGGGAAATGCTTTAAAAAAAAAAAACTGAGGAATTTAATTTGTAGCAAGGGATAGAGTACAAGCTTCAGACTCCCCAGAGAATTTCTGCTGTTCATATTGTGTTCCTATACACATCTGATATGGAGACTCACTTGTGGATTCTCATGCCAAAAAAAGGTTGCACAATTGTAAGCTTTGTACCAGTTGGTCCATTTTTCAGTCTATTTTCAATCTAGCCAGATTGCTAGTTGGCAGCTGGTAATTTGAGTAGAGAGCAAAAATGACTGAAGTCAAAGCAAATCTGCAGGGGCTCAGGTAGGACTTTTGAAACGAAGACTAACACTGATGGTCCACTGTCATGTTTTGTCACAGTAGCACAAAAAAAACCCAGAAGGCAAGCAAGTGTCCTGTAACTGACATTTGGTCTTTGCCTGCCATCTATTGTGTAGAACTTGTACCTCTGAAAAATCAGAGCAAAAGTGAATTTATGCACACAAAAAGATAACTATCAACTGTCACAAATTGGACACTTCAACCATATCTAATTGTTGTGAACAGAAAAGATTTACAAGCACAGTTTTTAAGTCCAAACACATGCTTAAAAGGGGTAACCTAGGTTGCCAATATTTTAGCCTCTTGAGGAAGGGGAAACAATCTCTTCTGTAAGAAGAGCTGATGCTGCTCTTCTTTTCAAGAGCAGCAAAGAAATTCCTAGTAATCTCACTTACTACCCCTGGCTAAAATTATAAAATATTTTCATGTCCAACTCCCAAAGCACTTTTCTAAGCACTTCCAAAAACTCAAGTGACTAATACTGATTGCAATAGCTTTGCACTTTGTTCCCTGTTTTCAAAATAGGCATGTGTTCTAAGTCGGTGCAGTATTAAGTTTCTCCTCAGTAAGGAATTCAAGAAGTATTTTGTGCTAACTAGTCATCACCTCTGCTCTGAAAATATTGTAATATATCAAACCCTGTGACACATTCTTTATGTGTATTGCTAACAATAAGAAATTTATAATAGCACAGCCAAATCAAGGCTACTGTGAGTTAAAATATTTAGTGTGCTCCACACTTCAGTTCTGCTGTTCACCTCCATCTGAAAAAATGCCATATTACACAGAAATTCAGCTTTTAAGTAAACCCTTTTTATTAGCAACATCATTAAAATTCAAACAGTATTTAGGTTTATGTTCAACAAGTAGAAATTTATTCTGTGATCACATTACATTTTATAAAATTGTCTTTCAAGAAAAATACCTAGATAATATTGAAATTTAAGGCTGTCAATGAGATATTATGAAACTAGACTGGATCGGCTTCACATTTGGGCTCAGATAATTTAATTGAAGTATTTTGGATTTTGTGATTTTCTTAACCAAAGACAATTATAAAACATAATGAAAGTTTTTATATAACCTTTTTTTACTGCCTTTCAAATTTAAGTGATAATAAAACTAGACAATTGATGCACTAACTGGTTATGACAGTATGTCACTTCCTAACATCAATCTATTTTTATGCCATGTTGTTGGACTGCCTAAGGCCACCACTGCTGCTTTAGCATTTCTATTGACATCTTATGAACTGTAAAAATTGGCTGGCAGAGTGTAAGCAAAACAGTGTGAGAAGATAGTGAGTAAAAACAGTTCATTGTTCAGTTGCAGACAGTTACATCAATAGTTATTTAGGCTAATCATTTATACATCTAAACCTCTCTCCCAGCATTCCACTCCAGACACAAATGAGAAATCCTAACTTAACACAAAAGATTGTCCTCAACAGTCTGTTTTTCCTACTTTAAAAAAACCCTGGAATTCTGATGTAGGAAAAACCCATTTTTTAGAAAGCTGCTGCAGTGTGCACTCCAGTGCATTAGTGAAACTAGTCTCTTATCACACACCATTGGTTTGCATCTTGAGCAGTCCTGAGATTAAACTGAAGTATTTGACATCCTCCAGGAACCCACCTAACTTGCCACACTGCTACAAAACATTCAGTTCATTTGACCAGTTCTAGTCTGGTTGTCACTCTCCCAAATATATACAGTGACTATTAGCTCCTCCATACCATCTGTTTTCGCCTATATATGTGCTCCTACTGCACACACCTTCACCAATGCTGAAAAGAATTTGACTTTATCTTGAAATTCAAACACAGTCATGTAACCTGACAAGTTAAAACTTTCATGAAGTTTAACTGCTGTTTGGATCTAAATTTCTGAATTTGACAGCAATGACAAGAAGCATTTGATGGTGTCTGTGTATACATCTGAAATACTTTTTCCATTGAAAAGAAAATACCTACTAATTTATTCTCCCTCTAATGGGACACCAGCACTTACGCATTAGCTTTCCTTGTAATTTATAAATATTCCATATAAAAAAGAGCCAAAAAAATAGAGCAAGATCAGAATTCAAAAAAATGTTTCAGTGACTTGAAAGGAGTGCCCAAACCCTTCTTACCCAAAGGTAAGAAGATTTAACTAAATAACAGAACAGCTTATCATATCCTTCAGGGTACCACGCATTAACAGACACGTAAGAAATTAAAGTAGGCCAGCAGAGAAACAGAAAATGTCCAGAAATTAACATTCAGAATGTTAATTTAAACCTAAAGAGAAAACAAATTTTATCTCTGGAACTACTAATAGGACTGCATTAAGTTTGAGATTAAAAGAGTTTTTCATTTCACAGGCTGCTCTCAAAATTGCAAGAACAAAATTTTGTGTGCCACATTTTAAGAGCAAAGTGGAAACAGTGTAGCAGAAAAATGTACAAGGCATGTAGAAAATCCAGCCCTGGAGGTCAAGCCATTTGGTTTATTTAATCTAGGAGAAAAAAGCCAAAACTGGTTATTAAGGCTGGATTTCTGAAAGTTTGAAAGGAGGAAAAATAGTCATGGAAGCTGCTGTAAATAATAGTCCGTCCAGCTGGTTCCAATTCCTTGGCTATTCTCTATGTTATAAATGTCTGTCCTTAAATATATTATGCTGAAAAATGTTATTGCTTTCTTCTCATTTCACCTTCAAACAATGTTAAGCGGATCAATGATTCTGGCCCAAATGCAGTGGTATTTGTAGATGGCTGAACTCCTGACAAAGTCAAGTAACTGTCATATGTTTGACTGTAAGATTTAACAATTAACATACATATCATGATAGTCTAACTCTGAACTCAAGCAGTACCAGAATACTGAAATCTATTTTTGGCTACACATTTGACATCATTCATTAAAATGGCAATGGCTTATCATATAATGCCTAATATTATGAAATTATTTATGTGTATACTACTTATCTTTTCCATATATAGATCCTACCTATAAAAAGTACACATTTTAAAATATATACAATAAATTTTATATATTTCTACATAGGTACAGGCAAAACCAAACCATACGTTTTGAGTCAAAACTCCAAATGAGTCCACCTCAAAATTAAAATTTTGTGATCAAATACACAGTGAGACTGGGCATAGCAAAGGCTCTCTGAGGGCAAGATTAAATATTAGGACTAAATGGTATGCACATTAGGCGAGACAGTGACTAACTTACAGTGAAGGTTTTTTTCATGTTAACTGTCAGCTATGAGTTTTCCATACTACTCAGATGAGTCACAGCAATATGAGTAACATATCAACATGTCTTGGAAACGGTAGCTCAGAACAACAAAACCATAGGAGGTCAACAGCATGCACAAGTGCAGCGCACATTTGAGACCATTCAAATTTATACTTAGCAGAATAGCCACAGCAATTACTAGGTAAAAATATTATATTATTCTGTGCATTCAGAACGTAATTACTGCATTATAACTTTGGAAATACAGTTTGAGGACCACTGGTAATATTTAAGTGGAGACCACTTTGTAGATTCTAGCCTTAAGAGAAGCTCCTACTGAAACTGTGGACTCTGGATTCAGACACATTTTTTACATAGCTTAATGTCTCTAAGAATGTTATGTTCTGTTCCTACCTGCTACATTATCATGAGATTTCAGATTTCACCAGCAGTTGATCTACTTGGATGAATGTAACAATCAGGCAATACATTCAGTCTAAGATACCTGGGTTTTGCAAAAGACACTCTAAAATGACAGACTATGAATTAGAGACACAGTCTTTGAAAGCCTCTATGGCCATATCCATATCCAAGCCACTCAATGTATATCACGCTAGTGAAAATCAGCAGCATTGTCAGAAGCTAACAGATATACAGAGCAGAACAGCAGAGCTTCATTAAATAATGACAATTACTTTCAAACAGATTGTAAACATTATTTTCCATATCACTGTATTACTGATGCTGTTCCACTGCTAAGTTTGTATCTAAAATTAACTGCTTTATTTTATCCTTTAGGAAGTACCTTTCTGTTTGAAAGTAAACCAGAAATTCCTACAATATCAGTGTATATTTTTTCAGCTTGTTATTAAAATATCCTTTTAGTTTTACAAGGGTATGAAGGATCTCTCAGAAGCTCCCAGTGGGATAAATCTTCTGTAATAGAGGATTCTAAATAAATACTTCAAATCACAAAGGTATTTTCCACTAGGGAAATGCAATTGTACAGTTTATTCTAGTTTTCAGTCATTTATCACTTACTACTTCACATGGGGGTGGGGAAACCCCAAAAGATGTAACCATGATGTTTTGGTACTAATCAGCAGAAGCTGGGAAACTTCAAGGTGCTTGTCTTATGTAGGTGGCCACATAAACTAAAGATCGGTAATCCTACTCAACTTTCAGGAGCTAAATGCATATTCCACGCGTGAACTGCTGTGACATTTGAAAGTGTCACTGACCATTTAAGGGAGGTCAAATCCTCAAACAGGATTATGAGGTTGGAATATAACTTAGCTTAAATAGGGTGGCTTAAAAGTAATATAGATTGAGGCAGTAGTTCATAGAAGTTTTTGCCCACAAAACTGCAGCTTCACTTACTAGGTGACAAGAAGCAGAGGAGGAGTGTGCTCTCATTCAAAGCAGAAAATTTCTATGGCTGCTGCTGCTGCTGCAATTAAGAACTAAACACACCTCTCCATAGCCTGTGCATCTCCAGACTGTGAATGCTAATTTCCTGGAACAGAAAACTTAGACCACCTGTTGGGCAAGAACAACCCCGATTCTGCAGATAAAGAGCAAAGAACTTGAACACTAATGACTTAGCCAGTAAGTAGTACTAGCAAAAACTTGGTAAGTGAAATGCAAGTTTTTTGTAAAATATCATGTAAAAAGCATACTTTGCACAGTAATAATGGGTGCTGTGGAGACCTGAATTCAACTAGTTTATATTTCTCTTAAAGGGAAGTAGCAATGAAAAAGGAGTTACAGTGCCTAAGCACACAATCTTCATCTAAAGTATCTGCTTTACTGTTTCATTCTTGCAGATGGACTAATAACTCCTGTTGACTTTTGATCACCATTATTAAAAAAAAATTAAAAAAATATTTGAAGTATTTACTTCTACATAAAACCCTAGAGTCTAGTTCAGTACTAGTTCAGTAATTTTTAAAGGATGATTATGTTCCTGCTCCTTAAAAAAAGGGAAGTGAGAAGAACAGATCTCACCTTAAAAATCCAACCCAGTTTCAAGTAAAGAAATCTGAACATAACACACCTCAGATATCATGAAAATAATACAAGACTTGGTGTCTATCGTGATCCTTGCAAGGAAACTCCACATTTTGCAGAGTAAATGGAGTAAATTATAATAGAGTAAATTATATTAACTTGTTTCAAGGCCATAAAAACATTTATGCTTTCCCAGACTGAAGAACTAAAATGGTAAGATTTGAAGTCTTTGAAGGAAAAATGTGGGGTAGTTGACAGCAACTGCTTAAACTAGTTCAGATGTTTTAAGTATAATAATATATATATAGCAGGAGAATAATAGATTTTCCATATTGTTTTATCTGAAATATGCTATTAAAATTTTTCAAAGGACCCTTCCCTGTCTACAGTACAAATATCTCAGATAACAAGTAGCTCTTCAAAAATGGACCACATAATGCACCAATTTATAAACAAATCAAGTTCGTATTCACTGTAATTTCAAGACAGGATACAAACATTCTCAGTCCTTAGCATATCAATCTTACACTCTTGCCTCACAAAGGAGGAACTGAGACTATACCAGCTCCTGGTAGAAGAACAGAGTGCAAAAAGGAAATAAAACCATCTTGCCAAGCTCCAGGCTTTCACTTTTAACCACTGGAATGAAAAACACAGAATTGTTCCAACCACAAGGCAGACAATACAGTACAACTTGCAACTTTTATTCTATTCTCATAGCTGCATTTACAGTTCAAACAAAAATAGGAAGAGTTTTTAAAACCAAATGCACTAAGTTATACACTTATAAAGTACATATTCCAGGGAGATGAATATAAGAACAAGTGTTCAATTTTCAATTGAGTAGTATGATTTGCTCATGCAGAGCATGCAGAGCAGATTCTGATTTAGAATCAAAATCAGGTTATGAACTACAGTCTCCATCTTCAAACATCAGATTTAATTTTTTAAGTTGCTTTTCACAAACTCATAATTTCCTGCCAGTTTTAAGTGCAATTTATAAATACCATCCTTCCATTCTGTAAGTATTTTCCATTTTCAGTATTTTTTGGAGCATTTTTAACAAAACCCACAAATATTTTTAAAATATTCAATTATGGTATTATGCAATCTCTCAAAACTATATTTTAAAAAGACTATTTGGTTCATCTTCTAATTACAATATGCATATTTATTAATTTAACACAGTTATGGATGCTTAACATCTGATTTTCAACAGTCAAATTGACCCTATTTTAAGATCTGTAGTTTCAAATACTGACTTTTCACTACACATTGTGCATCTACAAACCTAATCCAGCTCTTTAATTTTAAGACAAATAGAGAATTTGGAAGAATTCACATTTCAAAGTTTTCAGATTATCACAGAAAGAAACCTAGCTATGCATCAGACTTTTCTAGCAGAATAAAGGCCTTTCTTGTAAAACATTGTGGAATCCCAGTGAAAACAGCAACATTCTGTTAATGGCTGATGTCTAACAGACACAAGGCAACAACCCAATGAAGAGATTTCTGAGAGAAGTTCAGTTCCTTAGTGAATGCTGTGCACCTACACATGTTCTGAACAAATCTAGAAAATCTAGCACTTACAGATTTGCTATTAATGCATTAGAAGATAAATTCATTTGTTACTGTGATTTTGCTCTCAGTACTCACCCTCCTGTTAAGTGAATTTTAGACATTACCACTGAAGTGGTCAATCTCAAAAGGAGTTCCTTTAACAGCCAAGACACTCACTGACTTCAAAGGTTATCATGCATGTTTGTCCTTCTTGTATCAAATGGTTCCTCACATCTTCCCTTGAGTATTCGCTCTTCCACTTAAGATTGACTAAAAAATTTCAACTGGACTTCTGGCAATCTTACTCAATTCTTTTAACAAACTTAACTGCAACCATAATTTAAACCTTACTTTATCCTCTACATTCTCCTCTACTATGTTATTTCTTGGCTGCTGCTGGTTGCAGGATCCATTCTCAGACACAGGAACCCAGTTTTCATTTTCAGGTGTGTTGCCCCATCTCTATGAGAAAGTTATACAACACACCAGGTCCCTCCATCAGTCCATCAATTAGGGTAAGGCTCACACTGAAGTTTCAATGTCACCTGCCTTGTCACTTGCCTGTCACCTGACTGCAACATGTTTCCCTTGCCCTGAAAAATGGAACACTGGTCCAACCACAACCATCCACCATTCTACAGTGAATACCTTTTCCCTGATTCCCTGATCACCTCCCAGGAGTCATCTCAGCTTCTCTCCACAGGTTTCTCTTTTACCCAAAAAAATGCTACTTGCTCCTCTTCTGAACATTTTTCTCAGTTTCTTTCTTCAGCTCACACCCTCATCCTGCAGTAAGTTTTAAATTCTTGCCTCATCAGCTTACAATGGTTGCTTCCAATATATCTGCTGTATTTTCAGTGCGTACCTGTTGCATGTCTATGATTTGGAAGAAGCACATTAAAAATTATCAACATAGACATATATCAGAAATGGATTCTTTAAATATTTTTCACTATGAAAACTGCAGTGAAAGTTGCAGTTCCTGTTCTGTTAGTGTCCAGAATATTGCATATAATGTGCATCAATACAGTCCTGCCTCTCACCATACTCAACCAGTTTACATTCAGAAAGTCTGGCATTTTACATTTTTGATTTCAACTCTGCACAAATTGTAGTAACCAAATCTTTAGCTCTAGTTATGCAACTTAACCCCATTAATTGTGAGATATTTCCATCTTTTAAGCATTGAAGTACTACAAAAATTCAGCCAGACAGACAGGCACACAACCTTCAGCATAACTCTGCATTCACGTATTTGCTTGATCTTATTTGATATCTTCCCATAGTACATAGGCTTTGAGTACTGTTCTGTGATGTTAAGCAATTTCATTAATGTCCCAGCCAATGTCTGACTGAGTAAATACAAAACATTTTACCTGTATAGTCATTTGTTCCATGACACTATTTGAGCTCTTACCTTAGTAAAATTATTCAAGTGACCTAATTTTCTCATATTTGACACGCCTTGTAATTTGGCCACATTTTGAAGAATCTCTCTCATATTATCACAAGGGTCTGCAAAAGAAAAGAGGTTATTAGCAGATACAGCAGAAGAAAAGAAAAAATGAAGAAAAATATAAAGGTGCATTCAACATGCAGTTTCATAAACACAATAGGTAAGCTCTCCTGATTTCAGGGATGCAAAGCACTTTTGCTCCAAAAAGCATCAATCTGATTTATGCTAGGGACTAAAACCTGCCATACCCGAGATCTGTAGAATAAATGCTAAAAGCCATAGAAGACAGACTCTTACTTTAAACCAGATTTTAATCAGTATCTTGGATTTGCAGTTGACAAAGAGATCCATTTAGTGTCTGAAATGCCAATCCCTACATCTTGTGATATAGGTAAATTAACAACTTAACCTTTAATCCCCTTGCAATTTGAAGACAAAGTAAGCTGAAAAACAGAAGCTAAAACATAACATGTTACTGGCACACCACATTATTCCTTTTCTTTCCTCCACACAAAGGGTTGGTGGGATTTTGGAAAGATGAGATCTCCTCTCTGGTCTCCACATTAATTGCTTTCCATGCTTTCAATGCTTTAAATAGAGGCTAGGCCTTTCCAGTGACATAGGAAGTGAACTACAAGGTAAACAAAAGGCTTAAGAATGTATTCTTTCTTCTTAAGGGTCTACCATCCCAACAAGAACAGATGAACAAAAAAATGCCACCCACAAACCACTATTCACACACCAACTGATGACCCTGCATTCTGCTAGAAAACAGAAAACAAGTACCATGATGAGAAGAGACACACTCTTATCCCACTTTTGGAATTAAGGCTGGAATTGAGGCAGAGTGGAACAAGCAGCAGAGTGCGGCTGGTCCCAGGGAGCTGCACAGAGAGCTACTGTAATAGTCACTGAAGTAAGTTCTGTATGTGGTGGTACTGTGGCAGGGCAGTTTTTAAAAGGTTCTATAATTTATATATTTATAGTATTTATAAAGGGACTTCATTTGATGCAGAATTCTCATGGAGTTTTAGATTAGATGCTGAGGATAGGTATCAGCAGCTTGAGATAAATGAAAAACTAAGGCTATCATGAAGATGCAAACTATTAAAGTAATACATTACCAAAAACAAATAACTGCACTACACAAAATGAAGTCTTTAGAACAAGCCTGAACACCAGACATCTAAAAGGCAGCAAAGAGAGAGCTTTTGTGTGTGGTGTCCCACACTAAATGCAGTAAGAAACACTTGCCTCCTACTGCAGAATGGAACAGCTACAGCTGAGTTTGTGTCATAGACAAAGTCTTTTACCTTCCTGTTCTTTGTAAAAGTGTGTTTGTGTGTTTTTCATTATGCAAAGGAAATCAAGCATTGGAGATGTAAAGAAAGCCATATTTTCACTACCTCTCTACAAACCATGCTTTTACACTTCCTGTACTTGAAAAATGTAAACAGATTTAGAAAAGGAAACATAAGTAGCAACCTTACTAGGCTATATCCAGAATGTGTTTGGACAGACAAGATCTGTATTTGCACCATCATCAGGAATCAAGACATTATTTAAAATTATGACACTTACAGGTAGGCACCCAAATTGAAGTGTACAAACCTGTTAACCCACTGTAGTCAATGAAGATTCTGTCTATGAGCCAATGAAACCAAATGCCATCAGCTTGATTAGCTGCGAGATGCCTACTCAAGTGTAAGGTAATCAATTGATTGTGGTGTTTATAATGAAACTTTAGTACATGTGGAGACATGCTACTGTCACACCATATAATTCTGGTAATGTTCAAACAAAACAAAGGAACAGCAAGATTTTGGGAAGACAAGGTAAGTTCTTAAACATGGGAATCAATATCTATTAGCATCAGCTTGATGCGAAAGGTCCTTTTCCGCATATCTACTCACAACATATGCCAAGTCAGCCATCAGATACACGGGTATGGACACAGCTATCTTGCACTGCTGTGCAGTATGCACAGTAAAACCAGGTATCTAATAACTTTGAATTTAAATTGGAATATGTGCATGGACCTCTTTGCATCCCTAGGAAAAAAGAAAAAAAAAATATATGATATGATACAGAAATTAGAGACTGGATCTGTATCAGGTATAGCATTCCTCTGCACAATTTGCTTTTCCATGGCTTAACTCAGTTTAAGGGGTTTGCAATAGCACAAGCCATAAAATCATGGAATGGTTTGGATTGGAAAGGACTTTAAAGTATCGCTTTGTTCCAATCCCCTCACCATGGGCAGGGAATCTTTCATTAGATCAGGTTGCTTAGAGCCCCATCTAACCTGCCCTTGAACTCTTTCAGGGATGGGGCACATTGAAAACAAGTAGTTTGGATTAGTTACGGCACTACAAATAGTTTACATCATATCGTCCCTTAATTTCAAGAGAACATAACAAGAGAGAAGAATTATTTCCTCATAACCTGGTTTCTTTGAAAGCACAGTTTGGCTCATATCTATGCTTCGGCCTGCCTTGGGCAATGTGTGGGAATTTCCCTGGCACACAACACTTTTGGACCTGTAGAATTCCCTGTTATGCGACAAGAAAAATCCCAGGTGAGCAGTTTTAGAGCAACATAATTTTCCAAAATGACTGAAGGTACGTTTTAATTGTGAAAGTGCAGATGGCTACACATGCACAATAAATCCCTACAAAAACTAAGCTTGCCGTGTGGACAGGAAAGACCATGGAACTAGCCCAGAAAACCTCTGGTGCAATGGACATTCTTATTTGGCTATCTGATAAAGCTGGGCACTCAGAAGTGCCCAAGTTGTCCTGTGTAAAAAGGCAGTTAGTTTGGATGTGAAGAAATAAGGACACAATGATATTACAATTTCCCATATTAACAATTCTGTAGCAATGACAAATCTATATAATAAGGACGCCTAAATAAAATGTGTACTAAAACCATTTTCCTCTAATTTTTGCACGAAAAACTGCAGTTACAGCAACTTTTTCCTCATCATGTCCTCTTTCAGTTGAGAAAAAACTCATTTTTAGAGACTGAAAAGTTTGAGGAAAGACATGTTTGTGGTGTTTATCAGGGCAGTCAGGTATTTTCCAGAAGCTTTATTAGCAGGTAAGTAATTAGAAGCAAACTGGGTGCTCAAGAGCAAAAGCTACAACATTGTAGGAAAACTGAGAACATGAATGAAATTTCCACTACTGAATTGATGATATAAATACAGCAAGTTAGCTGTCTCACTTTTCAATCCTATCAAAACCAATTCTGCTGCAGAAAAACAAGACAGTAAAGAAATGAAGACCCTCTCATAGTATATTACCTCAGAAGGAATTGAAATAACAGAAGCCTTTCTGGTCAAATATTGCCAGGTGAAGTCTTGTTTTAAACTTCAGAAGAACCTTCCCACAAAAAGTATTGTATAAAAAATTCAACAAAATAACTGTCATACTAACTTAAAGGAAAGACTGGCTATCTTGTTTTTCCTTCTTCTGAAAATGCATCATACATTACAAAGAAGTAGAAAATTTTTATGACATACGTGTGACTCATTTTTAGTAAAAGTAAAGCCAGTAAGGAAGGTAGGTAGGCCTAAGAAAATTTCACGTCACAGATGTAAAAGAACTTAAACAAACTGTGACTTCATAGGTGATTTGACCAATCAAGCGGTGATTGTCTGTCCCTCACATTGAAATGGGCCTGGAAACAAAAATACATTCTGGATTCTAAAATCCAAGCCATGTGGCCTTCCTGTAATCACAGATCAGATCCAGCACTGTATATCTTCTTGTTACAAAATCTTACAAAGGCACTATAAAAATACCAAGTAATACAGAAATAGCAAAAAACATAGCGCAAAATCACAGACTGATCTTCTTCACAGCCTTAACATTTTATTATCAAGGTTAACAGTTCACCTTGGTATTGACAAAGACTTTTTTGTTGTTGTTTGGTTTTTTGCTTGTTCGGTTTTTTGGTTGATTTTTGTTTGCTTTGTTGGGGGGGAGGGGGGCGGGAAGGGACCAGAAGAACCACTGACTCTACTGACTTTACTCTTCAGGAAACGGCTTCAGGGATTGAATTCAAAGCCCTGGTGTTATTAACACAGTGCTCTAGTCCACTCAGCTAACTGGTGTTGTATGGGTTAAGGACCCCAATTCATATCACTGCTGCAGAGATTTCTTAGCTCTTACTCTCTAGCTCCTCAGAAGTTCCTGTTTTGTATCTGAAAGCAAAAACCAAGAGAAGCTACTTATTATTTTAAGACCCCCTCTAAAGTCTATTCTTTCCTGACTCACTTCAGTTATTACTGATACACTGACTCTTACTGGGAGAAATTTCTTCACCAAAAATGTTGTCAAGCACTGTAACAAGCTTCCCAGGGAAGTAGTTGAGTCATCACCCCTGGAGGTAATTAAAAGATGCACAGACGTTGCACTTAAGGGACACAGTTTAGTGATGAACTTGGCAATGTCAGGTTTACGGTTGGACTCGATCAAGGGTCTATTGCAAACAAAATTATTCTATGATCTCCAGCTGGCCCACAGCAGCAACCACATATCTTCACGTTCTTTCCCATAGTGCTTCTGAGGGTGGAGCTGTGTAAAATGACTAAACAGATCTTACAGCTTTCTTCTGACAAAAGATGCAGAACCCCTTCCCATACTTTCCTTCCCTCTCCGGTCCCACTGTATAATGTACCCTTATGCTTTACACTACCTTCAGCACCCATCTTCAAATTCATAATAAAATTATCCTGCCAAGTATCTCAGCAGAATCCCTTTCTTGTTCTTCTGACTATGTTAGCTCTCTACTGAATTACTGGCTCAAACTGAATACTCAACTCTTACAAAACCCATTCCAAAGTAGCTGGAGAACTGAGCCATTCACAGGTAGAGTGGTAGAAGCAAGACATACCTGTTCCACATGATACTCAGTAGAAAAAAGACAGCTTTTTTTTTTACCTGGACTTTAAAACTGGCAAGCTGCCCCAATTATTATACACAAAGCTACTTCACTCAAATGCCATCTAAAAACTTGTTGATACATATAAAAATTGCAAGTCAGCCCACTTGCGTCCTGCAGCAACAGCTTAGTTTGCTCATCATTATTCTCATTTTCTCTTTGTCTGCTTTTTGTTGGACAGCAAAATCTGAAGTAGCAGTAGTTGCTCTCTTTACTTCTATTACCCTGAACACAGTTTCTCACCCACAATACTTGGCACTAACACCCTGAATTTAAAATTGTAATCTTCAGCACAGAGTAAAGCTGGTGTTTTTTTTAGAACTCCAGCCTCAAGACCCCATGATTCTCTGTGCCGAAAAGTAATTCATAGATGCTGGATATTAAAAATCTCCAATGTTTTGTTGTTTGTTTTTAAACTCTCATGACCTTTTAAGGCTTGACTCATTTTTTCACCCCTTCATGATTGTGACACTGTTTTTCCCCAGTGAGAACCATGATGCACTCTGACAGATCCCATTCTCCAGAGAGAAAGAACACGACAGAAGTCCCGCTACACAAAACAGCTAGCGCTCCATCTAACCAGGGATGAAATAGGACCAGCAATAGCTGTATTAGCACAAGTGACGACTCTTCTCGCCTGAGAGATTTAGCAGCATTGTTTGATCACATTCAGTATGCTAGAAGCATGCCAATTCGCTGTTCTGTTATGCACATGCAAATGAAAATGGAAAAAAAAAAAAAATGGTAGGCTTCAGCACACAAATAATTCAGTAACTCTGAAGCCAGGCATGAGTTAAACTGAGAAGTGTGTACTATATGCATCACTTGGTAGGTTCTAAAACAGTACACAGTACTGTATGCAGTAGCCAATGTATATACATATATACACAGTAACTCTCAAGTGAGAGACTGCACTAACAGCTAATGACACACCTACTAGAATCACATGGCCAAAAAGTTAAATAAATATTAAATATTTCTAAATACTTCCTTTAAAGAAGGAAGTTGTACTTCACTACAGTTAAGCATCTCACCATTGACAACACGAGAGGTATCTTTCTCTTACTGAAAGAATCACAGTAACGACTGGAAATTTCTGGTGAACCTCCTACATACCTCTACATTTACTGGATATTTTTTAAGTGTTAATGCCATGCAATTGCATATTGTTAAGCTGTTCTTAGTAGTGTGTTAAAGTACATGCTGCCAAAATAAAGGAAGTTGAGCGAAATAAATAAACTAGAAACATTAATGCACTGTTCTCCACTTCCACTGAAACAAGTTTCAAGTTATTAAAAACTGGGAAACATTAGAAATCAGTTACTTAGATGTGCCTATGTAAGACTATACAATAAGTAACCAGCCTTCTAAAAAACATTTTAATCAAGACCTTTAATAATGAAATGAGACATCAATGGTAAGTCATATCCTACCATTATCAATTTAATACTATAAAATAATAAAATACCATTAAAAAATCAGGACAATTATGTAATCTTCTTGATATTAAAGTATTCTTAATTTACATTTAATTCAAAATGTGGAAACTGCACAGAAAACCTGAGAATATGAGAGATGAGAAAGCTACATGAAAAAAGCAAACTCTGTGAGACAGATCACTCCTGTATTATTTGTATTAACACATCAACTCTACTTTGTGAGATTAAAAAAATAAAATTGTGCATGAACAATTTACATTCAATGTGTGATCTTCCAAAAACACAGTAATACATGTTCAGACTGAAGGTATGTATTAATTTATAGTGTAAGAACAGAAAAACCTGCCTGCTTCTAGTATCAAGTTAACGTAGCTATGTTGAAAAATGTACTTAATACTAAACCAGATGGACATCCTCTACAATCATAGTTAAAAATTCTGCTATCACACTTGAAGCCATAAGGTGGGAAATACGTTGTACTGTAAAAATTTTGCCAAATAAGACTTGAAAATTTTAGACTAAAAAAATCCACACATGTATCAAGTTTTATCAGTTAACTGAGAGTTAAAAAGTACCTATGACTAAAAGAGTGATTTCAGCAGAATGCCTTAGAGATTTATTTAATTTAGATCCATAGCTTTCATTGGGGAAAGCATACAAAGAGCACTTTATTTTGAATATAAGCAAGTTCCAGTAACTCATGTTCATTAAAACAGAAAGCAAACAAAAACTAAGAACCCAGACTATTTTCACCCTTGTTGCTTAAGAAAGATGTGAATATATGAAACTGGCTCACTAATATGGAAGAAAGTACACATACCCTCTTTCACGGCAGTCAGCAAAGAAAGTCACGAAACTGTTCTTCTCCCTACATCACTCAGGTAGAAATTAACCATTCCATACACAAAAATGCCTATGAACGAGAAATCAGTGGAAAAGACAGAATATCCAAAGTAGGATCCAGGAATCACTAGAACTTCAGAAAAATAGGAAATCACATATCAGGGTTACTTTGGCACACACGTGCTTCTGAAAACAAGTAAGTAAAATTTAAATGCTTACTGTGATTGTACGTATTTCTCTTTTGCAGATGTGCATAGATGTCGCAAATTTAAGGATTTTTTTGTTTAAATTTTAATATCCTACATATATATATAAAGGTGATAGACAATAAATAGTGTGGTGTTGCAGTCAGCTTGAAGAGTATTTCCAAAATGGACTGCTTTCCAAAATGTTGTCTATATATTATTTCTAACCAAGACCCTGAGATTGTATCTACAGAAAAGTCATTCTTACATCCTCACCTTGGAATTATGTTAATTATTCCCCATGTGTGATCTTGTGTGGCAGCTTTGTAAGCAGCACTGCTTTACTGCTAAAACTCCTGAGAAATGGGTTTCATAGCTGAAATGTTAAAAGCTTTCCCAAGACAGAGAGAGAAAACTGAAGGACCATTCCAAAGGATAGCTACAAGGCTGACTTGAAAATTAATTATATACAGTTTTTGATAAACAAACTATTCTTTAAATGCTTTATAGCAATACAAAATCCAGTGTTCTGCAGAAGCTTCCTCAAAGACCAATTATGAAAATACGATTAAATACTATTAGTTAAGACTATGTAAGGTACCAAGGCATATTAAAAAAATAGTTCTTTTAAAAAATCTTGTCTATTCATAACAACAAAATGTTTCATTTAGTCCTCCATTTAAATTTACAGTTATATCCTCAACTCCCAGGAAGACATGATGTTGATGACAAGAATCATAGCAATAAGTCTTGATATGTATCGAGTCTTTGTGAATTACAAACTGATTCCCAGCTCCCTGCCTCTCACCCCTCAAAAAAATCCTACCACAATGTCATCTCCCTGCACTACAAGATACACAACTATAACTAGTGTATATTTTCATGATTAAAACTAAACTGGAATTATAATCTCTTAAAATTTCTATCATGACCACTTAATAATACACAAATATAAATTATCCTGGAATACAGGATAAATTCAGGAAGAACTTCCTCTAAACTTTCAAAAGCTCAGATGTTTAAAAGAAAAAAGAGAAAGAAAAAAAAAAAAAAGAAAAAAATAGAAAAATACCAGAGCGGGTCAAAATGCTGGAGGCTGGGGAACATTCCATAACTGTGTGACTATGCATTTGTTTTTCCTGTTGTTCTGCTCTCTTCTCTGCAACAATTACCAACTACTGCCAAGGTTGGAGTGACCCAGTACAACTGTTCTTATGGTCAAGAGCCAGTAAAAGCCTTTCCCAGATTTACAAAATTGCTTATGTCGGTACACAAATCAAATTAATACTTCCCAGAACATCAACGATGAATTTGAATGGTGAATGTAAGCTTATTGTAATGGCTGAGAAAATTATCTTCAGTTCTTCCAACCCATTTTCTTCTTTTCTGCTACCACTTCTAGAAGTAGAAATATCAGGATGGTCGTAATTTTCAGCTATTTTAATAAAATGCTTTGGCTTCCTGACATCCTGCAACTAATACTTGGAGAGAGGACGAGGCAAACCTGATTTCAAAACCACTCAAGAGAATTTGATGACATATTTATCTGAATATTATTAAACTGAAATATGATCCTATTCTACGACTGTTTTCTCAATTAACATTCTGATTCTTCTCCACATCATTTTAATATGTTCAAGAAAGCATACATGGCTTACATGGCTCTTAGTAATAAACTGAAAGCTGTCAGGAAGTAGGCACTGTCCCCAGAAATATCCTGTTACATAGGGTATCATGTAAAGAAGTCCATCAAAATTAGCAGATGTAGGATCACCCAGTCTGCCAATAGGACACAACTAGGAACTACAAGTAATTCACAAACATCACTGACTGTACTTTCACTGACAGGAAAAATTTAAACTGCAGCCAGTGTCATGTGCTAATTTCCCCATCCTAAAATGCTATAACCAGAAGATTTCAAAACAGCGCTGATTGATGATATCTGTGGGCTTCCCTCATACTAGGGAAGAGGAGGCAATGTCCATGTGTCACAAAGGTGATACAGTCACATTGCTGTGACCATTCAAGACTTCTACTCCTCCTGAAACAGGACAGGAAGTGTCAGTCATATTTATAGATTTAATAAGATCTAAATACAATTCTCTGAAGACAGCAGACACCTAATCTGTTGGTCAATCTCAGTTTAGAAAAACCTGCTGAAATAACAGGCTAAGCTAAAAACTGAGCTGCAAATGCCACATTTATAGAAACAGCAAGATTTTTTTTCTATTTCATTTTTTGTACTTCATAAAAAAACCCAGAAGTCTACCCACCACACACACATATGGTTTGCATAAAGAAGGAGATGAACACATTCTAAATTCTCTAGATATGAGGTTGCTCAAACCGAATTCTGACTTCACTGATGTTCAGGAGGTAACGAAGGAATAAGATTACTTACAGATTTAATAATTTGTTTTTAAGTAAGTAATTTCTAGGCAACAGCTGTTCTTGATAGTCCTCCATTCTGATGAAGTAATTATTTTTAAATACACG